ATTCCAATAAAAGGACCTAAAACATGACTGATATTTCAAGGCTTTGAGAGAGGATGTTGCTAGGAAGTTTCCTTATGTCTACATTCAATGTATTGTGTATTTCTTCTCCCTTCCCCCTGCCTATATAATCAGGCCCTATTGCCATTGTAAACACAACTTTGAATATTAAAACTCCCTTTTACTCTTTGAGTATTTATAAAATAGTGTGATGCTATTTTAGCCAAATTCCTAATTCTATATCTTAAGAGTGGTTATCTTAAGTGTGAGTTTTAGGTTCTAGATATTTGATTAAGTGTGTCATATCTTAATTAAATACTAGAATTCAACCCCAAGTTAATCTAGAGGTGAGCTTATCCTTTAGTATTAATTTGGCTCCAAATTAAGATAAGAGTGTGTTTATCTCTTATTCCTTATTTGGAATTTATCCCATCCTTTCTAAACCCATCCTTCATCCCTGATTTTCCACTCTTCTTCATAATATCAAAACCCAAAAAGAACTCCTTCACATTCCCATATTTTCATCCAGCCCATTTCCCCTTCATTATTCCACAATTCCATCTCCAAAAATAACAACTTGATAAGACCTCCGGTTCACCCCTAACAGATGATGTCATTCATTCGCTCATTTTTTGACAGACTTTCTCTTTGTAAATAGCTATAAATATAGCTAATTTGTACCAAGGTTAAGGCATACTCACACATGAATATTCTCCTTCTTCATTCAGCAAAATGAAATGTTTGAGTTCTTTATTATTGTACCTTCTTTTCTGTAGATTACTGTAGCATTTTATCACACTAACAAAATACGGAGTATGGATTATGATTTCCCATAGTGGAGATAGCTGATGGGTCCCATGGGATTTCCAAGTGAACCTATTTTCAAGTTATAACATCAATCTAAAGATCCAAGTGGTGTCTAAAAACAACCTGTTGAGGGAATTTTAGAACTGAACATCCTAAGATTGGACCTAGTGCTCAAATAGCTCCAAGCAAAAAATATATATGCACTAGTGACTTCATCTCTTTTTTATGTGTAAGAAGATGTCTACGGTGGTCAGTGCATGAGTATTTGACAACTGCAACAAGCTTGACGTTGTAGAATACAAACAAGCTAAGTTGATTATAGTTTGTCTTGGAACTCGGAATCTGAATACGTAGGTGCTGTTGCTTCTGTAGTGGGCAATGTTTAAAAGGACATTTTTTCAGTCTACATACTCCATTTTTTATGGTTCTATATGTATCTCGTAATGCAGACTGGTCATAATGTCTTTAGTGGATTTGGCGCAAGGGAAACAAAGACATGTTCCGTACAGAGATTCCAGGTTAACTTTTCTCCTTCAGGTCAGATCCAATGACTCATATGCATTATATTTGTTGTGTTTGACTTGCCATTTAACACCACTCACTAGGTAAAGCAATTGTTCCAAATTTGATTTAGGATTCTCTTGGCGGGAATTCAAAAACTACAATTATTGCCAATATTAGTCCATCTAGCTGGTATGTCACTTTGAAAACGTTGATATGTGATGTTCCAATATGGCTGCTTGAATTATACTGCTCTAATTAATGCTTCTTTTATTCAGCTCTGCCAATGAGACCCTAAGCACTTTAAAGTTTGCACAACGTGCAAAACTTATTCAGAACAATGTATGAACATCCAATTTAATATTTTACTTGGCCATTGAAAATAATCATGTTTTAAAGGCACACTAACTTTTGTAGGCAAAAGTGAATGAGGATGCTTCAGGTGATATATTAATTTTGCAGCATCAAATCCAACAACTAAAGGTATTTACTAGTTGCATTGTTTTACTCTCATGCTTATTCAATACATCCAAATCCTACATTCTTATTAGTTGACTTTTTCATACAGGGTCAGTTATTTTTTTTAATGAAGCATCACAACTCTTCACAACAATTTTCAAATTCCACACCATCGTTGGATCAGTCTAGCTCAGGCATTCTTCCTGAAAGGTTTGACCTGTCTAATGTGTCGAAGATATACAATGATGATGATGAAAGAACATGTGGAAGACACCACAAGGTGATTTTTATAAATGAGGATGATTAATATAATGATATGAACAATACAACGTTGAATGCACTTAAAACTTCCTAGAGTTCTCACACGAATGGAGTGGCAGATAGAAAAGTTCGAAGCTACTTTGCTTGGTGCCCTGAGACGGGAGAAACTGGCTGATATGGAGATCAGGCGATTGGAAGAAGAAATTAAGCATATGAACCGTCTAGTATGTCATGTTATGATCTATACATGCCCATTTTTATTACTGCATTATCAATTTTGAACCATAATATTGTGCAAAGTGTTGTTTATATAGGTGTAAGCATTACATTCCAATTTATTTTTATTGCATACATTGTAGGTTCATCAACTAGAGGAAGATGCTCAGCGCAATAAAATAATGTTCAAGTTTCGTGATGAAAAAAATAAGCGATTAGAATTGCTTGAAGAGAAGTTAATCTCGGTGGATAAGTATCTCATCAATGAAAATGCTGCTTTAAGAGAAGAGATTCAGGTTCTAGCATCAAGATTAGAAACAAATCCAGAAATAACTCGACTAGAATTGGAGAATAATAGACTCCTCAGGCAGCTTCGAGCGTAACTCCTATGAACTTGATTGTATACTTCAACTACTCGGTAGTCCCCCCACCCTCACTGTTTGATCTTCTATCTCTACTGCTATTAGGTTCCAAGACTTCTATGATCATGGACTGAGAGAAAAAATGGTTGCTGAAATATCAGAATTACGCCAACAGGTTCCAAATGGTCTTTGGTTATTATGTTTCCTTTTTTTGTTACTGGCTATTCTGAGGTTCTCAATTTACATTTTATATCAAGTGTATGGAATTAATCGATTGCGAAGGGAACTACTGGGGACATCTACATGCATTTAGAGAAAAGTACCAGGTCTGCATTGAAATAATTAGATATGATGAAAATAACTTATATATTTCCTTCAAATTTATTGCCATTTTGTGCATTTATCATGCACTTTATAGATTGGAAGCATGTCACACAGAAGTGAATTGGTAAAAACCACACCTAGCTCCCTGGCAGTGCATGAAGGATATTTTCTGGAGAAAAGTGATCACCAAATGAAAAACACATCGATTTTGGAATATAATGATATGAAGAAGCAGTTAACGGAAGCAAGACTTTTGGTGGAAGAGTTGGAACTGGAGCAAGTCCATCTTGTTGAAGAAATGAAGATATTGCGGGAAGAAAACTTCAGGCTTCTGGAGATGCTAGATAGAAATGACTCAAATGAGATCCTTGGGAAAAGAACAGGCTCAAATGAAATTTGTGAACCACAGGTCAGTGCAGATGATACAGATCTGATTTTTGTGTCGAAGGGTCATGCTGATACCTGTTCAGTTGGGTTGCAAGGTAAGTTGGGAAAAGTGTCCAAGGATCTCGAGGAGGTCCTCTTTGTTAATCACAACTGTATGGAGGAAGAAGCACTAACAATGTCCATGAGACAACAAACTGATTTAGTGTGCATGGGGGTGGAAGTGGAAACAAGCAAGACTATTCTACTCCTGCAGGAAGAGATTTTTCAAATCAAGACTGAGTTTCAGGAGAAAGTGTGCTCCATGGCTGAGGAAATCATAAGCCTCAAAGAAACCCTGGGAGCTAAAGAGGAAGAAATGAAGATGATGTGTGCAGAGTGGGAAAGAGCAACTCTGGATTTAACGAACTTCCTTACAGATGGTTCTAGATCCCTTCAAGACGCCACTTCTCATATAGAAAGTATAGCTGGTTCATTTCCTAATGCTGACATTTGTATTGGAGAGCATGTAGAGAGGGCAGCCAAAACATATATTGAGAAAGAAGAAACTATTCTTTTACTAAAGAAGAGCTTGGAAGAAGCACAGCAGACTGTGTTTCAATTGGATGAGAAGTTGTTATCCTTGAGGAGTGCAACAATTGCATTGGCTGAAGCTCAACTGCCAGCAAATGCATTTACAGAAGATGGAATTCAGATAGCTACAGGAGTAAGTAATTCATTTCTGGCGAACAATCTTATCCATAGGAAAATGCAGATCAATGAAGCTGAAAAAATGAATTGCTCATCTGATATTTTAAACCTTGCCAATATAATTGATAAGAACGGTCAGCCATTAACAAGTAGATGGAATTTTTGCAAGGGAGAATTTAATAGAGAGACTGAGTTGGCAAAAAGGGAAGTGTTGGAACTCGAAAATGCTATAAAAATATCCTTTTGTGATGCAGAAAAACAACTTATAGCAATCAAGTCTGATGGATATAGCAGCCTATTGTTTTTCAAAGATTCAATTCAAGACATCATTAATGATATCAAAGAGATGCAGACGCATTTTACTTGGGCAAAGGAAAAACCTGGCAAGAGTCAAATGGCTCAAATGGAAACTGATGAAATTCAATCAACTAATTCCTCTGAGATTTCCAGATGTGGTAGTATGTATCAAATGCTCCACAAGGAAGCTCACAGAACCATCAAGGAAGCAGATCATACATTGCAGGCGTTAACCAAATCCAATGAAAGTGGAAAACTAATGACATGTATCTGGGAACAAGCAGTCAAGGATTTGCAGGTAGAGAAAGCCAGATTGGCTGAAGAGATCAATCAAATGAACTCTGATATTTGCGGGAGGGGTGAGTATGAAATACTGCAGAACCAGATGCATCTTAACTTCACTGAAATTACAAGCTCAATATCTTCCATTGAAGATACTTTCCATGAAACACAAATATATGTCGATGCATTGTGCAAATCTGTGCTTTCTGATGCTTATGAAATGGTAAAGGTGACTACGAGCTGCATTTGCGATTCAAAACTGCTATTAGATGATATAGTCACTACAGTAATGGGGAGTGGAGTAGCCTCTTTAGTCCTCCGTCAGTGCCACAAAGGTGATTTGATTCACAAACTGAAAATCCTCAACAGAAATCTAGTTGCAATGCAGGGTGAATGCTATCAGAAATGTGATAATGGCAGGTTGGATATAGATGGTCAAGAGGTGGATAATGCTCAACCTTTGAAAAAGAAAGACTTTGTTCATGCTAACCCAGTGTATGACAATGCCGATCTCTGGAGGGAATTGGAACGTAAAGAGGCTCTTCTAAAAGGATTACTTTTTGACTTTAGCTTACTACAAGAATCGGCTTCCAGCAAAAGGGATGTCAAGGATGAAGTGGATAAGTTAATTGCAGCGTTGAGTGAAGTTGACAGTGAATTAAGAATTCAAAAGAATCTGCTTGATGAAATGATTGTTCAAAATAGATTGCTTGAAAACCAATTGAAAGATGCTCAAGGTGCTCTTTTTGTCTCTCGTTCTGAACTAGCAGAATCAGGAAGAAAATTGGAGACAGTGACGAAGGAAAATGCAGGATTGAGAGGGCTTGTGGATGATCTTTATCTAAAGAAGTCCGAAATAGAGGAAGAACTGAGAGAGCATAAGCAGGCCTTGGAAAAGTTAGAAAAAGAGATTATTTTTCTGACATCTTCAGCTGATAATCAAGTTACAAGAGAGAAAATCCAGCTTCTGGAACACATTCGCTCTTTGCAAGACAAGCTTGATATTGCTTATGCATTAGCTAATGAGAATGAAGCGATAGCTGTCGAATCCCGCCAGGTATGAACATAAGATACAAGATTAGAATTCTTAAACCCTGACACACACCACGGTTCCCATGACATTGGAAATCAATGTCATGGGATGACCTGAGGTCCCTACGGTACTTCATTCGAAAAATTGATTGTTCCTATACCTCCTAACCCCCCGGTAAACCCCCTCAACTCGGCCCGACCCGAAGCAACACCTCCTCCCCCGTCAATTGCACCCCACAAGATGTAGTTGACTTTGGAGTCAAATTTTGACTCCAAAGTCAACTACATCTTGTGGGGTGCAATTGATGGGGGAGGAGGTGTTGCTTCGGGTCGGGCCGAGTTGGGGGGTTTATCGGGGGGTTAGGGGGGATAGAAACAATCAATTTTTCAAACGGAGTACCGTAAGGACCTCAAACGGAGCTCATGTCATAGAATGACATGAGGGGTTAATGTCATTTGAACATTGCCCATATATATATATGCTTAACTCAATTTTATCACTAGGAGTCAGAAGCAAGTAAAATCTATGCTGAGCAAAAGGAGGAAGAGGTGAAGATTTTGGAGCACTCTGTTGAAGAGCTAGAGGGCACCATAAATATACTAGAGAAAAAGGTAAACTCTTTAAGCGTATTTCTTTTTACCAATGACATTTTCAATCAACTTTTTAAATAAAAACTCTCTTCGCTTTGTTTGAAATTTTGAATACTTGGTCTTTAGATTTTTTTTAATGAACATATGAGTATCATTGCATCATTTTATTTATACTAACTTTGACTAAATGGAGATTATCTATTTATCCCATTCTCAAGGTACATGAAATGGAAGAAGAGGTAGAAAGTCATCACATGATAAGAGATTCATTAGAACTAGAACTTCAAGCACTAAAAGAGAGGCTGTTGACAGTTGAAAATTTTAATGAAAGTCTGGACTTCAATAGATCAGGCTTGCAACATACAGAAGAGCGATTTCAAAGGTAAAAAGGCTTTATGATTGAAGTATTCCTAGATTGAGCTCGGTACCAATTGGCAATTACCCAAAAGTCCAATGCTAGTAGTATACCATAATACTAATGCTTTGGAGTACCTTTCTTTGAATACTATATTCTTCCTTTCTTTATCTACCATTGTTGTTCCATAATTGGACTCAATTCAGCGAGTTTTATTGTAGGTCCCTATCACATCACAAGGCTTATGAACAAATAAGAGTTCTTGAGGTAGAAAAGGCAGAACTAGTCAAGGAGGTATGCCAAAAATGACCATTCAAGAAAATCTTGCCATTTATTAAAATGTATTTACAGCTTTGGTTACCACTATTAGAATTGAAACCTTGCACACTGCGTTGTAGGTAAAACAATGCAAAGAGTACATTTCTGAAATTCTATTGCATGCTGAAGCACAGTCATTACAGTATCAGAACAAGGTGAACATTTTTACCTAAACTCTGGAGGATAAAAAAGCACACATTACTGCAAGTGTTGGTTTCTATCTGCAATTACTGCATTTCAATTTTTATATGGAACGGAATATGTAAAGGGTTCCTTATCGACTGAGTAGTAGTTGCTTTTCAACCACCGGAATCAACCCAATAAAGTGGGCAAGTACCCATATAACGACCTAGTAAAATACCCTATACGAGTGGGAATTAGGAAAATGATTAAGTGGTCTCTCATATTTATTTTACTTTTGAGTTATTTTTAATAATTAGAAATCGTTGGCGGTATGCTTGTCTTTTCGTGACAAAATTAATTATCTATGTTTAAAAAGACATTCCCTAAGAAATGTTGCACGCTATTTTGAATATTTATTGTGGTTTGGTCCTTGGCTATCAACAATTGCTTAAGCATTTTAGAACTGTATCTTTTATCTTCATATGATGTCAGTACAAAGACTTGGAATCAATGATTCGTGGATTCGAGAGTAACTCAAACTTAGAGAACCAAGAATATACATCAGATATCAGGGAGAAAGTTTCAACAAGAGCAAGGGGCTCAAGTTCACCTTTCAGATGCATCTCTAGTTTAGTTCAGCATATGAATTTGGAAAAAGATCAGGAACTGGCAGTTTCCAAACTGCGAATAGAAGAACTAGAAGCGATGGTGGCTCAAAGGGAGCAAGAGGTATGATATATAATTCCAGAAGTTGGCTGTACACGATAAATTTTAGAACTAAAATACAGATTTTCAAAGGAATTTCACATTTTTGGTGTTAGTTATTTTTTCCATCAGTTTACACTTTTACCCAATCAAATACATTAGGAGTTCATTGACTTCCTTTTCTATCTAAAGGCAGTGAAGTGTAATCACATTTACTTGCATACTTCCATTGCTTTTTGAAATCATTCATGATCCATTAAAAATTCATAAATGAAATCCAATCCATCCACGATTGGTTTGATGAAATCAAACTAATCCGTACATTAGCAATTTTTTTCACACATGGGTATATGATCCATATATTTACTTATATCTTTTTGGTATGTTATCTATTCAAATCTAACATTGGAAAATGAAAGAAGTATTGCCTTGGATATAAGTCTTCACCAAAGTCCATTTAGTTTGGAGTCTTTTGAGATGAGTCCAAAAACAATTTGTGCGTGTTTGGCATCAAATAAGTATGAAGTTGAGGTGAATTTTTCTGTCCTAATGGTCATGTTTATAATTGTACCCTAACAAAGCCATAGTTACTGGAATACAAATAAACTAGAATTCCAATAAATGTGAAGAATTCATTGAGTACATGTAATTTGAAGATCCTTTTCGTGGTATACATCCATATTTTACAAATGGATAGATGTTAGTCATTTGTTCATTACTATACACTCGTGTACTTTTAGTGAATGGACTAGACAAATTTATTGACTGAAAGTTGTTGACTAGGTTATTGTTATATTTAATGAATGTATGATGGAGAAATGGTTTATTTTGTATTTCGGTGTTTCCATAAAAAGAATAGCAAGCTATATTGTGCTAAATGAGTTCAAATTTAGTGTCCATTTGTTTTTTCTGGTGGCACTAGGTATGTATAGTGAAGAATAGGCTTGCTGCAGCAGAAAACATGACACATGATGTCATCCGGGATTTACTAGGTGTCAAACTAGACATGACTAGTTATGCAGTAAGTTCCCTAGTTCTAAATTCTTTGCCAATGGTTGACTCTCTTATTCATCATAAAAAACATTCTTCATGTGTGCCCCCTATAGGATCTTATAGACAAACATCAACTTCAAGGGTTCATTGTTAATGCTCACCAAAAATCACAAGAGTACAGTGCAATGGTATGCTGTTTAGTTGAACTTCTTATATACTTTCATAGAGTAGGTTCAAATTGTCGTTTTCCGTACCTTTTAGTACTTTTGAAACAAAGCAACGCCTTTATTATTTATTTTAAAAGAAACAGTGGTTTATTTTGATTGGAATGACTTATCATGTGAAGTTCTTATGATACTTTTTATTATTGAGCAGGAAAAAGAAGTTCTAAATCTGAGGAGAAATATGAATGATTTGATTGTGGAAAGAGAAGCGTAAGTGAAGCTATAAACAAGAAGTTCATATTGGAATTGTCCTGATTATTGGTTGGGGTTGTACAATACCTGGTGTTCACTAAGTTGTGCAATACCTTTTTTACCCACACTGACAAGGTTTTTTGTTTTCACTTATGCGTGCGATGTCTCTGCATCCTCACGGGACACGGATATTGCAATTGTCAGTGAACAAAAAAACTTTGTCGATGTGTGTAATAAAGTGTTGAACAACATGGTCTACACCGAGTGTGTTGTACATATAGCATCTCTCTTATCAGTTGAGCGTCATGGAATGTCGCTTAAAAAATTCTCTGTATCCAGATTCATTGAGCAAGTAAGAAGGAGAGAAGCCATTGAATTAGCAGCACAGATGAGCATAGAGCAATTGAAGGAGCGGGATCAGATGCTGACTGCCCAAAATGAATTGCTCAAAGTACTCCTCCAAACCAAATTTAGGATTCCCATGCTGTTATTCTTGTTATTATAATATCTTTGTCTTATTTTGGGATTCATACAATTTTCTTATAAGTTGCTAATGTGGCTATGGAGTTGAAGCCAAGAAAGTTGCTCATAAGAGGCTCGTAGAGTGTAGATGAGGAGGCTAGGGGGGTCACTACGGGAGAAGTATAAGATTGCCATAAAGGAAGCTAAGGTGGTGGTTTTGGCGGCTGAGAATGCTGCTTTTGAAAGTATGAATGGGGATCAGGAAGCGAGAGGAGGAGAGAAGAAGATGTCTAGGCTATCTAAAGTGCGCGAGAGAAAGACACGAGATCTGGAGCACATGAGGCGTGTTAAAGACAACGATGGAAGGGTTTTGTTTGACATGGTCAAGGTTATGAATCGTGGCAGTCGTACTTTCATTGTCTTCTGAATGTTGGAGGGGACGGGTGTCTTCAACTTGGTGACTTGGGGGTGTCCAAGAGTCATCATCACAAGTTTAGGTATACCGTAGGCAGAGATGTGGGTTGATTTGGATTACAAAGTTCTTTAATACTATTATTTTCAGGATGGTTAAGATGCCAGGTGAGTGGAGGAAGAGCGTGGTCCCATTGTATAAGGGCAAAAGGGATATCCAAAGCAGCCATATTTATAGAGGCATCAAGTATAAGGGCACCTGAAGCTGTCAAATTAACACGAGTCGTACTTGATTGAAATATGGGCAAAAGGGAAAAAGATTGAACAATGGAGAGATCAAATATGGCATATGAAATTCTTTGTCAAATTAACAAGTTATAAAAGAATCTGCTATATATTCTAAACTTGGTGCACAATATTTTCATCATGTATGGAGTCCTAATTAGGCCCCTTTTTTTCTCACTTAGGTGCCAACTGTTTTCTCATTCTCGTAGGTTGAAAAGATCAAATTACAGAGTAAGGTGGTGGAACTAGAAGAGAAGGTGAAAGGTTTATATGGACCGCCCGGGGATATGCGCCTGGCTTTCCAACGGCAAACCGCCACAGCGTTTGTTGATCACGGCAAGAGGCTGCCTAGTTCCAAGCCATTGGTTTTGGGAAAGACGAGTGGCAAATCTCCTAACCACCCCATCAGTCCCAGAGACACGAAGTGAATCTGATTTGATTAGATTGCCAGATGCTTTTTCATCCCCAAAGCACAGAATGGTGTCCACAACAAACCGTTATTGGATTTTTCTGCAGAGTATTACTAAACCAGATCACCATTCCACAGGTCTGTTGTTATGTTCTTCCACTGCAATATACTCAGTAAATGTATGGGTTTGTTGTTGCCTCATTTATTTTTTTTCTCTAATGTAATTTTTTATGTATATCTCCATGTTGTGTAAATTATTGCTCTGTTAACATTCATTCATCATATCAAAATAAGTTTTAGTTGTGTAGCTTGACTGAGGAATCTGTTTCAAACGCATGATGCCGATAAGAACAGATGCTTGAACAAGCAATGAGAGTCCAGTCTCTCAACGATGTGCTGGTTCCTATAGATGCTTCGGTCGTAAGGAGAGTCCCGCCCTAACAACACCCAATATGTGATTTCACTGACAGTTCAAGGAATTTGAGAGGGAAAAGAAAAGAAAATGAAGTGGAAAATAGGTTTTCTTGTTTGGTTAGAGAGAGAAAAGAAAAGAAAAGTGGAAAGAAAAGAAAATGAGAAGGCAAGATATACTAAGAGGAGGGAAAATCAAAGGAAAATTTACCTAAATGTCCACCGCCACTAGACATTCTTCAAACTAAATGTCCAACATTACTCGATATTGTTCTCGCCACTATACATTATTCAAGTAATATTTAGAGAATAAAAAAGTTTAAATACTACATTGGTAGATGACATATGTTTTAGTAGTACTCCGTATTATTTAGGGCAAATTTCACAAAACTAAATTCTTCTTATTTTGGTGAGAAAAATAAGAGAATTATTATTTGTTCTTTTCCTTCCAAATTTCTTAAACCAAATACAGTATAAATATTTATGATATGTTATTTATCTTAAATAATTTACTGAACCCACAAGTCTTATGACCTCAAGAGTATCTCTAATTATAATATAAATTCAAAGAATGTCATTGTTGAATAAAAAAAATAAAAACAAGAAAAATTTTTAAATTCAGGGGGAGTACATAATTAAGGTACAACCTAATTAAATGAATTAAAACTAAAAAAACAAAATTAAACTTTATCCCATATTTTGATTGATCTTTCAAATTGTTGTCCTCTAACTTGTCAAATTAAGTGAGATTAACTCATTTTATTCATCTTTTATTCCTAAATACCTACTATGCATTGGCTGATATTCTTTGCATGTGGTTTTTGCACATATGAGAGACAAACCTCACTTTTTTCCAACCAATCTATTGTTTGGGCCGATACTGTGTAAAAATAAATTTTAAAATGATTTGGCAATCAGCTTTGTACCCCCCAACTTCAACATTAAATTGATAGACTAGTTCCAAATGATGGAAGATCAAATTTATCCTAATACCACTTTGATTACGTATCGTTTATTCTATATAAACCCCAAAAAATATTCGTCTACTTTGCTAATCATCAATTTTTATACTCGTATAGTTGATGATTAAAGCCCGTCTAATTTGACAACTCAAAAAAGTTAGACTACTTTGGGACATGGGGAGTATATCATAATCTTCCCTTTACACCTTCCTTCCAAATGTCTCACATGGTTCACTCTTCCCTCAATGAGATTCACTCTGCTCTCACAGAACCTGCCTGTGTTTTCTGCCCTTTTCGACCCTGGCATCCACAACAGCTCACATAAGCATATATCCTTGCGATGCCATAATTTATATATATAGAAAAAAAGATTCGTTGGAACCCGATAATAGTAAGTTCAGAGGACATGAGATACGAACCTCTCGAGGCACTGGGTACTGCTGAGACTCAAGCATGCGGACAACTTGACTCATCGCTGGCCTGTTTTGATCATTCGGGTCGACACATCTTAGGGCAGTCAAAAGAGCACGCTTGAGGGAGCTCGTGGAGGGCCTCATCTCCATCGTGGGGTCCACAACTTCTTCCGACCGTTTGCTTCCAACCATCATTTTAAGCCAGTTCACAAGATTCACCTGCAACCATAAATCAATAGGTTACAATGGAAGTTTAACTTTTCCTCAAGGAAGTTAAGGGGGCGTTTGGTTGAGATTGTGGGGATGCAGAATTAATGCATTGGGTTGAAGGTCTTATTTTATGGTATATTGATTAATTCATAAAAATGTCATTGTGTTACTAAATAAGGTTGCTTTCTTAACCCACTCATTTATTTAATACGGAGTATTATGGCAAATATATTTATATTGATTCTTCAATGGAACATGAGAATGATGAAATCAGAAGAAAAAAAACAAGAAAGAGCATCCATGAAATAAAGTAGAAAAGGGAGACTCTAATTTTCAATATATCCAAAGGGTCATGTTCCAATTCACTGTGCATGATTGTGTCTTGTGGTGTCAATCTTGATGTCAACAGTGAAGTTAGCAATTCCCATATCCAAAAAACGCACCTCGTCCGCAGGGCGCCTATAATCGACAGGGTCACCTCGTCCGCAGGCGCCACGTATCTGTGAGGGACACAAGTTACCTAAGTATGATGTGTTTATTTTGATTGCGAGTAATTATAGCTCATAACTTTGGTCCAGCCTGAAGCTAAACCCCATTCACCAAAAAAAAAACTCACCCAAACGTGCCCATCACCCTGGTTGTAATGTAATTCTTTCCCGCGCCAAGCATCTTAGCCAGCCCAAAATCGGATATTTTAGCATTAAATTTGTCATCAATGAGTATGTTGCTTGACTTAATGTCTCGGTGTACGACCTTGGGTTCAATTGCTTCATGCAAATACGCAAGCCTACGAGAAAAATGGTATACCAAAGTTTCCAATTATTAACTTGCTATAATTATACAAAAAAGTCTTATTCAAGAAAATAAGAAAAAAATAAAGTAAAGATCGAGGGACTCACGCCTTAGCAGTGCCAAGAATGACATTCATTCGGGCTTCCCATGTAAGGTACCCATGATGGCGCATAGCTCCATGAAGCCATTGCTCTAAATTTCCATTGTTTACATACTCATACACCAATAACCTAAATGCGACAACAAGGACAAAGGTATATTTCTTTCAGGTTCAAAAATATTGAAGGCCTTGTTTGATTGGTTTTGGTTTTACTACATCCTCTGTCCCTAAGAGATGATTTTGCTTGTTTTTTCACAAAGTTAAATAAAAAGTGAAATTGTGCGGTAGAAATTTATGCAGAGGAGAAAGAAATAATGTGAATAACTCATTTCTTTCCTTAAATGTAATGAGAACATTTTGGGACAGTAAGGAGGCATGGATTTTTTTTAGGGACGGAGGGAGTATTAAATTATTGCTTACACTAGAAAATAACAACGGAGTATATGTTTAGTCAAATCATGCATTAGTATATACTAGTATTTCATCTCCCTTTCTTTCAACGATCTAAATGTAAGAATAAATATGGTATTCGGGGTGAATAGTGGTTGGGGTTTGCGGGTGAGAGATTCAATACCTTTGGGTTCCCTCAATACAATAACCCAAAAGTCGAACCAAATTTTTATGACGAACATGCCCAATGGCTTCAACTTCCACTCTGAATTCTCGCTCCGCTTCTCCTCTGTCGAAAGAAGATTTGCTACAACAATGAGGAAAAAACTACACAAGTACGAACGTTAATGGGAATCCCTGTCCCCTTTTATCTTCATTCTTTCATTTTTTCCATCGGTTCCAAAATCATATCCCCTTTCCTTTTTAGGAAAGTATTTTGTGGATGATACGGTTTCTGTTTTCTAAACCAATTTCAACTATACAAAGTCAGGAGCTAAAAAGGGGACAGAGGGAGTATTAAGTTCCACACATGAAGGGAGGACGTGAGACTTACAGATTGTTAAGTAGTAGTTTTTTAATGGCCACTGGATTTCCGTTAACAAGTTGTCCCCGATAAACAATTCCATATCCGCCCTCCCCAATCACATTTTCTTTAGAGAAATTATCGGTTGCAATCTGTAGATCCCTGAGAGTAAACCAATGGCCCCAGCCGAGCTGGGAAAGCTTCGGGGGCGAATCAGACAGAGAAGAGTAAGAGATCAATCCAACATTGTCGTTGTCACCTGACTGAATCTTTTCAGTATGGCCCAAAAGCTTATCAGAGTCTTTGTCTCTATATGCGTCTTGAAAGGGGTCATTGTAATAGTTATTGTTTGCGGAACAGTTCACAACTCTGATCTCCTTTGAAAGGGGAGGAATAGGGGGACTTGTGGGGAGTGTTTTTCCGTTCCTTTTGGGCTTTTTGCGTGACAGACAAAAGGGCAACACCAGCAGAATTACTACTATGAACAGACCTATAAAGAAAGCTATTAATACCCACACTTTGAGATGCAGAAATGTGACTCTCTTCAACAACTCAGAGCTAAGGTAAGATGCCATTTCAGCAACACCTAGTCAAAGAAAGAAAACAATTTTAGTTAAAAAAACAATGCACTTTATTTTGTTATTGCTCTCTGTTCTATATGTTAATAACACCTTAGGATATACTAGAAACCCATGATATGCCAGGGAAAGAAAATTAAAAGGAATATAGTGCAAAAAGCTGGAAAAAAGAAGAAAAAATTTGCTTCTAACTCTATAAATCAACTTTGCTACTACTTAACTTACCAGGTTAAACCCAAACTTTCGAAAGACATTTTCATTCTTCGTAGCGGTTTTTATTATTTCCTTACCAATGACAAGCTCCAAAAATAGCCTTAATGAGATTTTGGGTACACATTTCTGCTGGGGGTAGAGATAATACACGAAAAAAAATCGGTAAGTTACCCTTTGTTGTTAATTAGGAAGACCTCAATCCATGTGCTGTTCTATCAGGTTTACAGTGGATTTTCTTTAGAACAATGAGGCAAAAGAGAATTAAATTACTCCATAACAAGACATCAAAGGAGGCCTAGCTATAATCCAGTACTTGACCCACAAAGCATAGCATACACAACTACACAAGGGAAATGTGGAATGAACGAAAAGAGACTCCCGACTCAAAATATAGAAATACGGGCAAACAAACCACGAAAGCACTAACGAAGAACATGTAAACATTACATTATAACTTTTTAAGAGCATTCTTTAATTTCTTTCAAATCTGGAAATGAGCATAAAGAGAACGGAATAGAATAAAAATACCTTACCCAAAAGTCTTAATCTAATTATGAAGACAATCCATTTATTACACATCCACACACACACACACACAATAGTTAATATATGGGCTTAATCTTCTCCATTCAGCTCTACTTAAAACCATTGTTCTACGAAGCACTGCACGCAAGCTATAAGGGATCTATCTAACATAGAACTGTGCTAAAGATTCATCATTTACCATAGAGAAGTGGAGCAAAAGGAAGACAGAGTTGAATCTTGGTGGCCAACTGCTACACCTCCTCCCATATATGATATAGTGTAAGCATTGTGAAGGGATTCAGACATCTGAGAATGGAATCAAACCAAGATCCAACAATACTTTCTTCTTCTTCTTCTTTCTTTCTTTCTTTCTTTTCCAATAAAACTGATGGGTCTTTCTTAAATCAAAGAAGAAGAAGAAGAAGACAGAGAGAAGATCCAGTGAGGGGTCAAAGATTTTGTTGTATGGCTATGGCTCCCCTGCAAGTTAAGGTGCATTTTCTCAGTTTCCCTGTATTATACTACATACAATGAATTGAAGCTTTCCTTTGAAGCTGACGATTCGGAAAGCAATCAAAAGCACAGAGAATGATGAATTAATTAATCTGTAAGTCTATATAAGAAAAAAGGGATATGCCAGGGTACACCACTCCTCTCTTTACCATTCATTTTATTTTGTTTTTAATTTTAATTTTTTTTGAATTTTTCTTGCTTTTTTGTGTGATTTTGGAGGGGGTGGGGAATGTTTGGGGTACACTTTTGGTGTACCCTAGCATTTCCCAAGAAAGAAAGGGGATGCTGGGTAAATGGTAGGTAGCAGTGCCTTTTACTTGCAGTAGAACACAAGCATCAAAAAGCCTATTAATTAATTAATGCGGTCCTTTCTCTTTTTTCAATTGTTTCACGGGTAATACGGAGTATTAAACCTACTACATTTCACAAGTTAAGATATTCCTTCAAAAATTATCTCTTCTTTTACTAGAATCAAATTTTATTCACTTTGTTTACTTATTTTTATTGTTCATTTGATAAAATAATATAGTTTATAATCTTTTTTGATGTAATTTTTAATATGTAATTTTGACTTTTAAATTTCACACCAATTTCTATATAAGAAAAAATTAAGAATAATTTAAACTCTCTCCGTCTCATAATAATATTTATTCTTTTCAATTTGAGTTGTCCCAAAATTTTCTTTTTAAAGAAACAAATATGTGGTCTACATCAATTTTGAAACTATATAGACTTTAGGAATAAATTTTGAAAACAAAAGAGATGTGCTACATACTTGACCAATTATAATCAGTGGTAAAATATGTGTAATTCAAATTATTTTTACCGCGGGAAAATCAGGTAGGAAGTAAAAAAGATGTTGACAATTATATAGGGTTGTCCGTAGTAAATTGACAAGAACCACTAAACATGGCGTTATTAAAGCTAAAAGATGAGCAAACATGTCTTCTTTGATTTCAGTTTTTTTTACCATTTCCATTTCTTTTTTGCTGACTCAGTCAAAGTCATAGAGGACGCAAAGGAGTCCCAGGTATACAAGTCCAAAATGTGAAAATGGAAATGGGTAATAAAATATACTCCTTAATCCCCAATTAATCTTAGTACTCTCTATTTTATCAGGTGACAAATGAAATTAAAAAATTAAATTGATTATACTTAATCTTGAATTTGTAAAATATGCAAATTAGTTAGAGATGGAAGAAGTTGTTATATATCTAAGTGTAACTCTAATGGTGATTTGACTAATATTATCATAATAATCATCAAAGAAGTTTGGTCGTGCAGAGTGCACGACTCATGAAGTTTGTTAATAAAGCCTCTAATCGTTTAACGGGAGTTCCAAAGAGGCAGCGCCTCCTTGGTAGGGGTTTGAGGGCAGCGCCCTTGAGAGCGAGGTTCAAGAGGCAGCAACTCATCCAGAGCTCAAGGTTCAAAGTGTTGTGTTAAAAATACAATTGAATATATATTTTCGGATTTAGTACTCAAGAAAATCGAAAGGAGCGCATTTATTCTTCTTTCCGCCTCTATAAGAACTTTCACATATTGGTCAAAAATAGGACATGTTCAAAATTATCACAATTATATATATATGTGTGTGTGTGTGTGTAAAAGAGAGTTACATAGTTGTGGTGATCCCTCCTACGACACATGTCACTCCACACATGCATATTTAATTTTGTATTAAATCATTATTTTTATTATATTTTATAAACCCTAGCCTTCACTTTCCAACAATAAAAAACCCTTATGTTTGTTCGTTTTTATAAAATTTTCACTTTCTAACTATTTTATTAATATTTTTTGTTGTTTTAACATATTTTTTAAATATGCACGACGATTTTATAATTTAAAAAAATTATATAAAATTTATTAATTAATTTTTTATAATTTTTAAAATTATCCATCATCTCAAAAGAAACTATTAGATACAAATTTTATCACACATGCATCTTTATTAAGTTCATAACATATTTTAATCTTTTCTCTTGTTACATTATTTATTTTATTACATATTTTTAGCAAACTGAACACAGTGAAAGTTTAATTGAAGGAATACATTTGGCACATGACAGATATGAATTCTTTAATGATGTGTGATTACTTAATTGATTTATTTGGCATTATTATTTTAATTTTTTTAATTAAAACGATTTTCAATATTTTTTATTTGATGACCATTACATATGTATAAAACTTTAAAACAGTTAGAAATTATTTATCAAACACATCATATATCATTAATAAAGAATTTAAAATAAATGATATTTTATTTTTAGATGTCAAAATTTAAAATATATGTGAGCCCGTGCGAAGCACGAGGTTAATATTATTATTCTTTATACTTTGTTCTTCAATTTCTAGAGTTGTTTCTGATTGTAAATTTGTGTGAATCGCAAAACCGTTTCAATCTGAAAGTAATTACACATCTTTCAAACAATTCAAGTACTGATTCTGAATTTCTAATAGAAGTAATATAATCTAAAATAAAATCCAACTTAAAAAAACTCTCTACATTCGAAATTTGTTTGTTCATTTTGATTTTACCAAACTTTAAACGCATTGAGTAGTGAAATACTAGATTATTAGTAGTTATAATTCATTTAAAACAAAAGAGATAATATTTTCAATCACACACTCTTTTCTGAAAATGTTTAGAAAAAAAGTGATAACAACTATTCTGAGATAAATGGAAAAAGGTGATTTTTTGGGATGGATAGATTAGTTTTGACTAATCATTCATAAGGAAGATCCACACTCGGACAAGTTGACACTTTATTCTTTGGATAAATGAGTGAGAAACACGCTTGTGTGGATTTAACAAGGATTTCTCCTCTTGTGGGCTTGAAGATTGGTGTTTTTATGACACACCAAGTTGTATTAAAAGCAGTTTCATGTAAAGTAATTAAACACGAGAGACTAAGAGCGTGCTTCGACAACAACCACGTGTTTATGCCATTTGCATTTGACACATTTGGTTTTCTTGAGCATGCTATAAAGCTGGTTAGTCGAATCCAACTAGTCAAGCATAGTTATACAATCCCTAGATGTTTGGATATAGTTTTCAAAAAATTTAGATTTTACTATTTAAAAAAGAACTAAGAATGCAGCTTGTTCTAAAAAAAATTCAAATAGAATCAAAATAAAATCCTAAGATCACAATATCTATGACTAATATGTGTGAGCTTCTCCATTAGTTTGGCAGAAGAATAACATAGAAAACCTACTACTGGTTCCCCGGATAACAATCATAAACCATTGAGAAATGCTAGAGGTAGATGGTGCTAGATTCTAGACTTGAATGTCATGTATTATCTGTTGGGCTGGATTGGATTGGAAGTTGTGTGGTGGACGGACAAGCAGGGGTAATGTAATAGCTTGTCATGCTGTGGGTCCTCGGCATTTCTGCTTCTCCATTATTAGCAGCGAGCGTTTCGGCGTAGTAGTTTCTGAAGGTTGGATAAAATACACTACATGGCGTTTCTCTTTTCTTTGATTCCCAAGTTTTTCTTCAACCTCGGATGCCCTCAAACTGTTTGAAAAAATTTATAGCTGAGTTTTCATCCCTCTGGCAAGGTTTTTTTTTTATTATCGCGGAGTACACCTCTTGCTTGATTCAGGCAATGTTTACTCACTGGTGTGGTTGATATGTGACTTGTTTCAGAGTTGGATCTGCTTTAGGGGACATGACGATTAGATGGCCAAGGATTCTAACACCAACCCAACTCTCACAGATCATTCGTGAACAGAAGAACCCTCTGAAAGCGCTTGAAATCTTTAATCAGGCGAAGGGTAGATATCCAAAATACCATCATAATGGACCTGTTTATGCAACCATGATTAACATTTTAGGGAGCTATGGCAAGCTGAGTGAGATGAAACATGTTATTAGTCAGATGAAGGAAGATTCGTGCCGGTGCCACGATTCGGTCTTCGCCAGTGCCATCAAAACCTATGCAGAGGCCAAATTGATGGACGAGGCGGTTTTGCTCTTCAAGAGCCTTCCGCAGTTCAACTGCGTGAACTGGACTCAATCTTTCAATACCATGTTGGAGATACTGGTTAAAGAGTCTAAGCTTGATGATGCATATCACATCTTTCTTGAGAATTCAAGCCGATGGGAAGTGAAGTCTCGGACTTTTTCTTTGAATTTACTAATGTCTGCCCTTTGCCAAACCAAAAGATCTGATCTTGCGTGTCATATATTCCAAGAGATGAATTATCACAGCTGCTGTGTAGACAAGGAAAGTTATAGGATTTTGATGAACGGACTGTGCCAAGAAAAGATGTTTGAGGAGGCTATTCATCTATTGTATTCGATGTTCTGGAGGATTTCAGCAAAGGGCAGTGGTGAAGATGTTGTGATATATAGAGCACTTTTGGAAGCGCTGTGTGACAACGGGGACGTTGATGAGGCACTCAGGATTCTTTCAAAAGTCTTGCAGAAAGGGCTTAAGTCTCCTAAGAGACACCGCAGGCAAATTCAGTGCCACCATGGAGCAGATATCGACAGTTTAAAAGCACACATCAGTGAAGCTTTAGTCACCGGCTTAATTCCAAGTCACAAGAGTTACAGGGCAATGGCAATTGATTATTTTGCTGGAGACAAGATTGATGCAGGTAACAGAGTTTTGAGGGAAATGTGTAATAAAGGCTTTAGGCCATCAGTTGAGATATATGAAGCTAAATTACTTGCATTGTTTAGACAGCATCGGGTCAATGAGGCCGTGGAGGTTGTTGACCGGGACATGCTAGGTAACAACTGTGTTCCCAACATTATGATTTACAATACTCTAATAAAAGGCCTATGTGATGAAAGAAAATCAGATTTTGCTGTCAAGTATCTAGAGAAGATATCAAGGCAGGTCTGTTGTGTTGCCAACAAGGACACTTATGAGAATCTAGTGGATGGGTTGTGTCGTGAAGGAAGGTACAGACAAGCAAGTCTTGTGTTGGAGAACATGCTGAATAATTCCTATTGGCCTAAAGTTCAAACTTTTAATGCTCTTATCCAAGGTCTTTGCTTGGTCGATAATAATTTACACAAAGCAATTGTGCTGTTAGAGGAGATGGTTAGTCAAGCTAAGATACCCGATGCTTCTGTTTGGCAGTCACTGGCAGCTTCTATATGTTCTGAAAATGTTGGAAACCATTTTCTTTATAAACTATTGGAAAAATTGAGGGATCCTGAAGTATGACATTTACTCTATTTTATGCATCTCATGTTACACCGCACTTGATTTTTTCTACTATGCATCCTGTGTCTCACCTTATTTTTTTGATTGATGATAAGCTAATAGTCCTCTATGTTTTCTTTCAGTTTCATGCAATAATTTGATATGAAACTTCAAACTTGTTCCATTCTCGTTTGTTCTTTTAAAATCCTATTTTTCTCTTCCCTTAAACTATCATTCCTTTGTTAGCATTCCTACACCAGAATTCAGTGTCATGCTTTTGTATTAACTTCAGAAGGTCACTTTTTCAGTTTGGCGTAAAAAAAGAGGCTTCTCCAACTACTCAGGATATTTCTTCTCAAATGTGAGAGAAAAATCTGCTCAGTTTTAAATTTAATTATAATTTTCTTAGCAATCCATAAAATTCCTGATGACAAGGAAATATCTTAAATCTTAATCAGCTTGCAAAAACTGCTTGTATAATTTTGTGAAGATGGGTCTCTTGGGATATTTATTTGCAATAACTGTTGAAATAGTAGTGGCTAGAAGTCACCTCATGCCTTGCACTCAACTCTTCTCTTTTTTGTTCATACTAAACTCAGCTAGAATATTAATGCTGCAAATTAGGTATTGTTTTATGCAGGAGAATACCTGTGGTGGAGCCAGTTTGTGAAACATACGGAGTAGTTTTTAGTCAATATCTATCTTTATACTCTCATCGTTCCAAATTAGTTTGCTCACCTATGACTTCAGGGGAATTAAAAAGTGTTGAATAGTAAAAAGTGAGGCGTTTGAATTTATTTAAAAGAGAGAGAAGTATCTTGGACCACATTCTTTTCTAAAAATGGAAAGAAAAAAGTGAGAAAACTATTTTGGAACAAATGAAAAAGGAAAGTGAAAACCTTTTTTTGGGACGGAGGGAGTATCGTTTAAAATTTGCAAACACAATGCTTTTCATTATATAATTACTTAATCATATTATAGCAATATTTTTTGGCGACTAACAAATGCGTGGAGCAGGTATTCGATGTTCATGTGAACCAGAGTTGCTTCCATACAGCATGCGGTTGGCTGAATCATATCAGAGCTCATCCTTAGGCTTATGTAAATCATCTTGATCAGCAGCAGTAGTAGAAGATGAGTGTTTGGGGTTGGTGGAAGAGGTCTTGACTGGGTAGGATGCATCCATTGCTATGCCACACAGTCCCTTCTTGTCCTCTATTCCTTGTTGCATCCGTATGTATCCCTTCTCTCCCCATTCATCTCCCCACGAGTTCTTCACTATCCAGTATTGGGTCCCGTCCTGTGTTTTCCCGTACCCGACAATTGTCACCCCGTGATCCAACTCTGTTCCACATTTCCCATTGAACACACCCTGCAGATGCAATGAATTGGGATCACCTCTTGTTTTGTTTCACGTGTGGATTATTTCGTAGTAATTGTTAACAAAGGAAAGAGTTAAAATATTGCAGTCGTGTCTGTTTGTGTATGTACCTCTGAATAGAACTGGAAGTCGTGACCTGCAGCTTCAATCACCACAGAGACAGGTTGGTTTGCTACTGCCTTGCGCAGTGCATCCTCATCATTTTCAGGCACGTCCTCGTGTCCGTCAATGGATACTACAGGTGACTTCATCTGCATATCGCGCATGCACATATTTACAATAATGATTAAATATAAGTGTATGTATGTATGCATGCACGCATACCATATATCGTAATATCTATATCTAGCTTGTTTTACTATTACCTGTTTGACCTGACACTTTGTTTGTTTAGCCTTGTAAGGGTAGTTTTGTTCGGTGGTGATGCCTCCTTCCTTCTTGATGAAATCAAATGCTAAATCCATGAGCCCTCCATCGCAACCTGTGTTCTTCTTAGTGTCGCAGTCCACAAGCTCTTGCTCCGACAAGGAAACTAGCTTATTTGTCTTTATTTTGTTTATACCTTCAATTGCAGCAACAGCTGAAAACGCCCAACAGCTTCCTGCACATTGATTGGAGGACAAGAGATGAGGTGAGATGACATATCAAGTGCTTGTTTGGCAATAGGTTTAGCTTTTTTAAAAGACTATCTAACGGGAGCTTTAACGTTTTCAAAGTTAATATGCACCATTCAAAAATAATCCAAAACGCTAGTGGTAATTGAAAACGATGTTCCAAACAGGAATCAAGTGGTATTCATTGAATTATTGTTTTTCCAACTCAATCTGCATATATGCTCTCCCTTACCACATTTTCCTTGGTCCTTGACAGGTGTAACGGCCCCTTTGGTCCTCCAATCAACAGACGTTGGGACTGTGGTTGCATTGGCGTACCGAAAGGATGGTTTAGTGCGAGAGGTGCCTTGCAGCTGTCGGTGGTGATTTATTTTGGAACCGGCGTACGTGCTTCTGAATTCGTGGTTGGTCATGTCGGCAAACTTGTTGAGCTTGAGCTTGTAAGGCTTGTTGTCCATCTTGTTGAAGTTGTGGACGTAGCGAATGTTGGACTTGAAGACGTTGAACCTCTTGTTCTTCTCGTCGAGGTTGGTAGACAGTGTGTGGTAGCCCCTCCACCTCTCGTACATCTCCCACAAGCTCTCCTCGCTCTCCAACTCCCTCTCGTCGTATTCAAAGCCTTCTCCTATTCCAACAAACTAAGCTAATAAGGTAAGCGCAAGTAAGAGGGATACCTTTTTCACCTCCATTATTTATATTATTACTCGTATATGATATGATATTATTGCTATAATAATAATACTCTGTAACTATTGTTATTATTATTATTATTATTATTATTATTATTATAGAAGAAGAAGATAATGAAATGAAGATGAGATGGGAGTGGGGGGAAAGTGGGATTCTGCTTGTTTATATATATATATATATATATATATATATATATATATATACTCCAAAAAACAAAGATGTGAGTGGGGATTATGCATGCACCATTCCAGCGGGTAGGCTAAGTAAGAAACATTTCACCCAACTAAGGTAACACGAAAAAGCAAAGTTGCTCCCCACAACAAATTAATTAGAGTACAACAGTTTCTTGATTTGGGGAAGAGAACGCAACCATGCATATATGTCTCTCTCGGCAATCACATGCCCAACCAATTATGTTTTCTCTTTGGAATAAATTACCATAGTAATAAATAAATAATTAATGACATTATTATTATTTATTATTATAATTATTATAATTATTATTACTCCGTATTATGGATGTATCTTGTAGACTTGTACAATTACTTTAAAGGGTGGATTATTCACGGCAAATATTAAAGGTCGGATTATCATCCATGGCCCGTCAAAAATCGGGGTTATTTTGATATGATGAAGGGAGGGATATATTAGTCAACAATAAGTAGAAGACTTTTATTTAATTCTCTTACCCAAAAATCTTTCTGCTTTCTTTTGATGTGTCAAAAAACTTCATAGTTTCTTTATTTCCTTGAAAAGAAATGGACATGTTCTCATATATGGTAATAGAGAGTATCTCATTTTTAAAACAAATTTCAACCACACATTTATCTTTGACTACTCCCTCCGTTCCAAAACTAAAGGCACAATTTGACTTTTTTTTGTCAAATTGTGCAACACTTTGACCATTAATAAATATATTTTTAAATAAATTACTTATATATACATAAATCTTTAATCATAAGCCTAGGTCTAACATATTTTCATTCTCTCCTCCCCTCTACCTGGCGTTGCAGTGATCCGGCGATGCCTCCAACATCATCATCTGGCCTCACATTCCTTCTTCTTATTCACCCATCTAAACTTATTTGTAATTATACTTTTAACTACTGTCTCTGTTTCAAAAAAAAATCCTAATTATACTTGTAAGTATGTTTGACCAATTTATTTACTTCAAAAATCTCATTTTCAAGAAAAAAGATGTGTACCAAACATGACCCAAAGAAGAAGCTTTTCATTTTAATATTTCACAGTACAATACAAGTATGCAGGGGGCTAAAAATACACAGAATACTAATTCACTTACGGCAATCATGTAGTTGCAAAGCATATTTAAATGATGCTGCTTTCTGCAATATAGCAATGAGCAGGTACTTCTTTTGGCATATATATATATATATATATATGTATATATATATATATATATAGGGTTTTAGGTCTAGGTGGTATCCATAGGAGCACAAATAAATAAATATTGTGATAATATGTTAGGGCTTGTTGAATAATAGAATGGCATGCATCAGCATGCTTAGAGCTCATCCTTGGGCTGAGGCAAATCATCTTGATCAGCTGCAGTAGTAGTAGAATATGAGTGTTTGGGGTTGGTGGAAGAGGTCTTGACCGGGTAGGATGCAAGCATGGCAATGCCACACAGTCCTTCCTTGTCCTCTATTCCTCGTTGCATCCTTATGTATCCCTTTTCTCCCCATTCACCTCCCCACGAGTTCCTCACTATCCAGTATTTGGTCCCGTCCTGTGTAGTCCCATACCCGACAATCGCCACCCCATGGTCGAGCTCTTTTCCACATTCCCCCGTGAACACGCCCTGTAAATAAATCATGGTCAACTATGAATTTACAAAACGACATACGGAGTATAAGTTTTTGCACTGCTGATGATACTTCTCTTATTTCCCAAGTTTTTTTGTGGGATTTTGCTGGGTTTGTTGTTGTTGATACTTGTCTTGATAGATTGACCTTTTGGGATGTTAAATTTATGACTCACCTCTGAATAGAACTGGAAATCAGAGCCAGAAGCTTCAATGGCTACAGCGACAGGTTGGTTTGCAACGGCTTTGAGCAGCGCATCCTCATCATTTGCTGGCACGTCCTCGTGCCCATCGATCGACACTGCTGGTGAGTTCATCTGATCAACATACATAATTCAATCGTCGCATGCATGCATCAATACATGTGAGGGTAATGTAATGTTAGGAAGAATGCTGGCATTATTGATTATTATTTACACCTTTCTAACATCACATCTTCTCTGTGCAGCCTTGTAAGGGTAGGTGTCTTCCGTGGAGATGCCTCCTTTCTTTTTGATGAAATCAAATGCTGAATCCATGATCCCCCCATTGCACCCTTGGTTTTCCTGCGTGTCGCAGTCAATGAGCTCCTGCTCCGACAAAGGCACTAATTTGTTCGTTTTGATTTGGTTTATGCCCTCAACTGCTACAATCGTTGAAAACGCCCAACAACTCCCTACATCGCATGCATGTGATTCATCAAGGAAACCAACTCAACAAAAAACTCAAACTTAAAGTTGCCGAAGTCCCAAGAATGTTGCATGGAGCCAAATCAATAAAAACCATTTATGTTTAATTCTTCCTTACCACATTGGCCTTGGTCTTTGACGGGTGAAACGGCACCTTTGGCCCGCCAATCAACGGAAGAGGGGGTGTCGGTCACATTGGCGTAGCGGAAGGATGGGTTGGCGCGAGAGGTGCCTTGGAGCAGCCGGTGGTGCTTGATCTTGGAACCGGCGTACGCGCTTCTGAATTCGTGGTTGGTCATGTCGGCAAACTTGTTGAGCTTGAGCTTGTAAGGCTTGTCGTCCCTCTTGTTGAAGGTGTGGACGTAGTGGAGGTTGGACTTGAAGACGTTGAACCTCTTGTGCTTCTCGTCGAGGCTGGTGGACACCGTGTGGTGGCTCCTCCACCTCTCGTACATCTCCCACAACCTCTCCTCGCTCTCCAACTCCGTAGGGTCGTATTCGAACCCCGAGCCTCGGCTAAGAACCAAAGCTAGGGTCAGGGTGCCTATGAGGAGGAGGAGGAAGAACTGCTTGTTCATCATCTCTATTATGTTCTTTGTTGCTTTGGTTTGTGTGTGAGATAGGATTATAGGAATAGGATAGATGATGTAAGGAGCTGATATGGGATATATGGAAGTTAGAGGACTGTGGCACTCCCTTTTTATAGATAAATAAAAAGGTTAGTTAGTTTCAGATTTTCAGTTTCCTTCATTCTCTTTTAAGTGATTAACTTTTTTTTGTTGATATATTGACGAATGAATGAATGTAGACAAGAAGTAAGTCTATATTCCTTAAATTTTTAATGTATCACAAAAGAAAATCATAATGATCATCTAAAAAAGAATAAGGTGACTATGGATTATCATGTGATAATTTGATATGTAGTATTAGGTTGCTAGCTTTGGGGTGCAAGCAATACATTATTGGCGCACCCAACGGGCATTAACGACCTATATGGGTTAACTTAGTCCCTAAATTAAGTTTTTATTTCTTTTTCTTATAAATTTTAAAAATAAAAAAAAATCATGATTAAGTTTTGTGTACAAAAGAAAAAAAAATTATAACCCACACTTACCCATACTCTTGAGTAGGAAATAAAATGAATGAAAACTCTTAAGTATAATATGAAAATAGAAAGATTGCGCATATATTTTTAAATCTGATTTAAAATGCAATTGTTTTTAATTTTATTTTAAAATTTTGTGAAATGGAAGGACAAGAGTTTTAAAAAATCAAACTTATCGAGTGGATAAAATTAATCAAAAGGCATCCGTATATATTAAGGAATTACTCCCTCCGTCCCAAATTATAATGTCTGTTCACTATTCACAGGGTCAAACTTCATTTACTGTCTTTCTCAATTTTCATTAGCAATTTGATAAAATAAAGTAATATTGTCACTACTAGTTTTGTAGATCTTTTGATGTAGTATTTTAATATGTAATTTTTATTTTTTAACTATGTACCATTTTTCATATAAAATGATTTGAAAATAATTTCAGTCAAACATCGTAAACCGAAACAAGCGTTATAAAATGGGATGGAGGAATTAATTAATAAAATACTCCGTGTAAATTTGCAACTTTGCGTGTACATGCGACTAGAAGCAACAACGTTACCCCTACCATTTCTTTTACGGTTTTTTTATACATGTTTTTTTTAACGTTAGTTTCACCAAACTACTATGAATGTGCCTATATGGTTGTTATTCCATCCAAAAAAAGAAAAAAAACAAATTTTAAATTACTAATCAAATACTCCCTCCGTCCATGTATGATCTTCCCATTACGCGTTACGATGCTTGACCGACTTTATTTTAAATTCAATTTAATTGATCATAGGAGTAAAATTTTAAAATAAAATTTATATAGTAGTAGTAATAAACTACATGAAAAGTTCTACAAAACTAGAAGTGACAAGAATATATTATTTTATGAAATAACTAGTAAAATTGAGCAAACAAAGTGAGTAAAGCTTGACCTTGTAAATAGTGTCTGGGAAGATCTATGGTGGAGAGAGGGAGTACTTCATTTATAGCACATCTCACGAAATTAAGCATCTTGCACTTATCTATGAGTATGTGGTTGTTATTTAGGGGGTGTTCTCCTGAGCTAGTGTTTATTGACTTATTGCCGATAAGAAGTTTTTAACTTATAATCTGCTTATAAAGCAAATATTTTTTTATAGAAGTAATTAAGATCTACTTATTTTTTCTGCCTTATAAGCAGATTATAAGTTAACTTATAAGCATAGAGAAATATGTCATCAATATATTTATAAGTTGAAAACTACTTATAAACTGCTTTGACCAACTTAATTATAAGAACAGAGAAGCACCCACTTAATTCCTTCCACCACACAAGATATGCATAATAAATACTCTGCTCTCCCAAAATTATCCTCTAGTTTATTTTTTAAAAAATCATAAAAAACAAGAGTAAAAATATACTTCCTCCGTCCTTGAGTATTTATACACTTTGACTTTTTTGGTCAAAATTGGTTAATTTTGACCTCAAATTAAATAAAACTTATATTAGATATTTATAAAAAATAGTTTTACTAGATTTATTACATCAGATATTTCCAAAATATGGAGTATTATTTTATCTAATCAATATACAATATATTTTTTATCTAATTATTGGTCAAAATTTGAACACAATTGACTAAAAAAAGTCAAAATTGGACAAATACTCAGGGACGGAAGTAATAAGTTTTATCTTTAAAATAGAAGTTTCATATTTTTATCTACAAAATAGATGTTTCTATTTTGACAATATGACACTATATATAATTAGGTTAATTTTAAAATGTAATTTTGATATATTATGTTTTTATAATATTTATTAAAACTATATTTAATTTATAATAAAAGAAATTACAAAAAAAAAGTAAGAGTGTAATTTGAGTAACACTCCATATAAAATTAGAAATGGGGCGCCGGCCTTGCAGTTTTTATGGATTGAAAAGTGGAGAAGAAGGTGTGGCCGGTATCCATTCAGACACCATTTTAATGTCTTGCTCAAAAGAGACGGAAAATGTTGCTTCTACGATAACCCTTCCGCTTTACATTTTAAAAAATAATTATTCTTCTATCGGATAATTGATTAATACTCTTCTTTTTTTAAAAAAAAATTTGTGAAGCTGGATAATTGATTACTACTCGGTACAGAATAACAACAAAAAATAATTAAGAAATTTTGTTGGTAGTAAATCTAAATATGCATGGTTCAACGCTAATAATTTCTGAGCGTCAACATAGCCTGGTTGTGTCATACTACGCATAAATTTTCTTATTAACTTCGCCACATAAAAAACATTGGAGACGTCAAAGTGGTCAACCGCACAGGGCCTCTAAAATTTTAGGAATTTATATTTTTAAATTTGTTAACAATTTTAAATCAAAAGTATTCAAAAAAAATAAAATAGGGCCCAAAACGTAAATTTTGGACCAGGCCAAATTTATTTTTTCATTCTTCAGAGCCGGCCCTGGTAGGGTTTGACAAGAAAAATCAAACACTACAAACGGATCTGAATTCAGACCAAATGTACTTGAAAAGTGTATTTTTCTAAAGTACGTTATTTAATTACAGAACACAAATCCCTATGGTATTTAAAATAACCAAGTCATGTGTTAAAACCACACCACCTCTCTCTCTCTCTCTCTCTCTCTCTCTCTCTCGTTTCTCTCCGGTGATTAGCAGCGGAAATAGAGAAGAAGAAGAAGAAGGTCGTTGTCGCCACCCTCTCGTTGCCACTTGCCAGCACCATGCCGGTACTTTAACCTTTTGTCGTTTCGAGGTGAGTACGTGGAATCCTAACATTAGAGTTTTCATCTCGAGGTGAGTACGTGGAATCCTAACATTAGAGTTTTCATCTAGGTTTGAAATCTACGTTCATAATTGTCATGCTAATTGGGTTGCGTGAAAACTTGTATGAATCGTATGTTGAGGATTTTGATTCCGATCATTGGCTTAAAAGCGGCTAGAAGCATGACTTTAGACCTTAAATAACTATTAGTACGTTCTACGTGATATATGAATGCTATATTACTGTGACAGATACCATGCGACAGATACTATTTGTTCCCGAGTCTGATTAACATCGAGTACGAAGCCCGAGACCAAGTGTGTTGCATGCCGGTAAGTGTGGGTGCCAATATCCAACACTAGGTCTCTATTTGTTATGATTGTGATTATTTTGTGTTAATCCAACACGTATGTATATGTTATGAGTTGTTCCAAACTTGAATCCAATAGTAAGAGTGGGCTGATCATCACGCAAAATATAGATTACTTGGTGTTGATTATCCAACACTACGAACTGAGGTAAGTCTAGCTAGAAGAACTCTAAGACTGACACAAGTATTAGAGAATTAAGAGATTAAGCCATGTAGTGCCTGCTAGGGCCAATGACAATCTGGGTAAAAACGTACGTACGGGTATCCTTGAACTGCGTGGTGGTCCATATTATTATGAGATCTGTTTGGATGTTTTTAATTATTTTTAAAATATTATGTGTTTGGATACCAATTAACAGCAACCCAGTTTACTAACTCATGTATTCGGGTTATATGGGTTGATGTATTACAAGACGAGAGAACACACAACACTAAAACTCAAGTGTTTAACAATAGGCGTACACATCTTAGAGTAGTCCAAACCGTTTTCCTGACTATAACCCTTCACCACAAGACGAAACTTATACCGCGAGGTAAACCCATCAATACTGTGCTTAATCTTGTAAACCCACTTACATCCAATCGATGCACGACTCAAAGGCCTCAGAAAAGCTCCCATGTATTTTATTTGAGAAGGGATGCATATTCTTCATCTATAACATGATACCAAAACTTATTTTTAGAAGTCTCCCTAAATGTAGTTAGCTCAGTAACAGGAGAAGTGGTGGAAAATCTGGCAGTATCAATTTTGGATTTAAAAAACTACTTTTAACACGAGTGGTCATGGAATGAGTGGAACGAGGTGGAGGTGGTGGTGGGATGGGACTTTGGTTGGTACTGGGTACGAGGTTTAGGTTTAAATTGAATACGGGTGAGAACAATTGGATAATGGGGGAGGTGGGTGGACGGGGTGTTTTAGACAGAGTGGGTGGGCTTGGGCCAGGCATGTGGACAATATATAGGGCCTAAGATGTCGAGAGGGGGTCTGAGGTGAGGGGTGATGGGTGGGGTTTGGTAGGGTGAGGGTTGATTGTGACAAGGCCATGTGACGAAAAAAAGGGGTAAGACACCAAAAAGGATTGTTGAACATGTAGAGTAGTAGAGCGAGGAAGGGAGGACAAACTCTTGAAACTGCACATGACAAGAAATATAAACACAATTGGTGGAGGGGTCATAACGGCACCCCTTTGGCTTTTGATAATGGCTCATAGCCTAGGAAGACACGTCGCTTGGAACTAGGTCGTAGTTTGCGAATAATCTCATGATGAAGATGACGATAGATAAGACACCCAAAGACACGGAGATGATCTGAAAGTAGTGTGGCGGGGTGCTAAAGAGGATCGCATAAGGGATTTATTTTTGCAGAGATCGTTTGGTAGTAGATTGATAAGATTAACTGAAGTAGCTTAAGCTTCAACCCAAAAAGGAACAACTAAATAGGAACTGTAAAGAAAAGTCACAAGTGTTTTCATTAGATGTCTATACTTGCGTTCATCTACTACGAACATTATATTGAGGCATATATATATATATATATATATATATATATATATATATATATATATATATATATGACTTATGATGGACAACCCCTAGCTGTTGGAGAAAGAAGCCAAATTATGATTGACATATTCATGACAAAAATTTAGATATACTTCACGTGATTTTTGATCATAAATTATAAATTTTGAAAAGCATCAAATACCTCAAATTTGTGTTTCAAATGGACTTTTAATCACCAAACAAGACAGATGGCCGTGAATATATTTGATTATAGACTTAGCTAGAAACTAATTTGTAAATTGCAAAAGGGGCTTTATCATGGGGTTGATGGTATGGACTCATGGACTACACAATATATTATATCTTGAGCCCAAAAACAAATACATATATAATGAAATGGGCTGCCCGTACTTAATCTAAATAAATCTTTCACGGTCTGGCCGATTCTCAACATAACTATATATACGGAGTAAAAAATTGTCAAAAAACAACTAACAGGATGATAGAATTTAGAATGTGGCAGTGATAATTAAATTGTGCAATAAGACACTTGAACTTCTAATTGAGGATGCACTCTAACAATAATTAAACCATGATTATCATGTATACGTATATAGAACCAACGACGTTCAAATGCATTTTAATTTAACACATCATATCCGATCCCAAGCATGCATGCGTTATTATTATTATTATTATTATTATTATTATTATTATTATTATTATTATTATTACTACTACTACTACTACTACTCCCTCCGTCCTAAAATTAATTTTACAGTTTGACTTTTGTAGTCAAATTTTTTAAACTTTCATCGTATATTACGAAAAAATACATTGAATTTTCATATAAATTTATTAACAATAGATTAATTTTGAAACATAGTTTTGAAATACATAATTTTTATAAAATATATTTCGATAAAAATTGAGATATTGATGGTCAAAGTGTCGCATTGGAGATCGTGAAAAGTCAAATGAGAAATTAATTTTATGATGAAGGGAGTATTATTATCACATTTTTATATGTATGTATATAATATACAATGGTGTTTTTTGCACTAGGAATTGAACATATAACGTACGTAATGATAAGATGTATTATTAATTAATTAATGTTTGATCTGAGTTATATACTACCTCCGTCCCTGAAAACCTTTCTCCTTTCTTTTTTCATCCGTCCCAAAAACCAATTTTCATTTCTATTAAAAAATCAATTTTACCCCTTACTTTTTCATATCCTACCTATCCCATCATATCTTTTTACTAATAATCTATCCATCAAATCATACTTTTACCTATCACATCAAAGGACATTTTTGGAAATTCAATACCAAAATAAACCCCCTTAAATCCCTCTTCAAAATCAAAACTCCCATAGAAACAAACCATCATCATGTATACACATATATAGAACCAACGAATTAAGATCAAATGCATTTTAATTTAACGCATCATATCCCAAGCATGCATGCTTGCTTGCTTATACGGAGTAATTATTATTATTATCACATATCATATGTATGTATAACGTACGTAATTAATAAGATGTATTATTAATTAATTAATGTTTGATCTGAGTTAACATACACCTGACGTCTTTGCTGTTGGGCCTCTCCTTTGGGTTTTCAAGGGTGCAAAAGCAGGCGATCTTGAGAACCAAAATCATCTGCTCCTCGTACCCATTCCCCGCCAGCCTCCCGTCGATGGCCTCCTTCGGGTCCTCCGACGCCATCACGTTCCTCAGCCACTTCACGATGCTCACCTCGTTCGTAGTCTGGAAGAACTCGTCCGACGGCAGCCTCCCCACCACCAGCACCGCCAGCACCACCCCGAAGCTGTAGATGTCGCACTTGTCCGTGAACTTGAGCGTCTGGTGGTACTCCGGGGCGATGTACCCCACCGTCCCCGCCACGTTCGACGTCGTGATGTGCGTGTGGGCGTCCGGGACCGCCTTCGCCAGCCCAAAGTCCGCGATCCGGGCTTCCATGTTGTCGTCCAGCAGCACGTTTGCGGGCTTGAGGTCCCTGTGGATGATGCGCTGGGTGTGGTTTATGTGGAGGTACTCCAGGCCCGACGCGATCCCCACGGCGATCCGGTGCCGCGAGGGCCAGTCGAGCTCCCGCTTCCCCTCCGAGACCTCCTGGAGGGCGTCCTGCAGCGACCCGTTCTTCATGAACTCGTAGACGAGGTAGTGGCAGTCGGGCCTGGGCATGTGGGCCAGGAGGGGGAGGAGATTCCGGTGGCGGATCTGGCCCACGATTTGGATCTCCGACTTGATTTGCCGCATCTTCTTGCTCATGTCCTTGCTCCGCTCATCCCGGAGCTCCGCCGCGTCCATCGGGGGCTGGATGATCTTCTTGATGGCTATGAGCTTCCCATCGCTCCCGGGGAGCTCGGCTTTGTAAACCTCCCCGCAGCCGCCCTTTCCGATCATCTCCATGGAAGCCAGCCCCGTCTTCTTTCTCCAAGAAAGCCAAGTCCTCTGCTTTCTTGATCAACGGGCTGAAAATCGTCAGGCCAGAGTCCTTCCCGTTCCCTGTTATCAAGAACTTCAATACCTGCATGCATGTACACAACCATATATGATATGATAACCACAAATCAAATCTTAAATCCGGAGTATATATATATATATATATATATATATATATATATATATATTTGTCACTCACTGTTAAGTTTTCAAGAATATAATTGTGACAATTAAATTAACATCTAGGTTCAATTCAATTGACACCGAAACTAATGTCATGAAAATATCTACTCCCTGATTTCATTTCATATATGGAACATATGATACCTTGAAAAGCATGGAGAAGAGCATGCCGGATAAACCCCCGGCAAAAGCTCCGACTGCGAATCCGATGATCCATCCCTTGAGTTTCTTTTCTCTCTTTCTGTGCTTTTTAGCAGCTGCCGCCGCACTTGATCGGGGACGGGGACCCGGAGCGGGGGCCACCGGATGAGGAGCTCGCTGGACGATTGCTCCCTTGGGAGGCAGCGCTAATGTGGTCTCGATTTTGCTTTCTGCAAAACTATAGCGATTCGGAGATTCATCATTTTCCTTCATCCCTGTTGAAAGATAATGGACTTGATCAATTGCCGGCACGGGACCTTTGAGCATGCTGTTGCCGGAAAGGTTCAGGAGACGGAGATTTCGGAACGTTCTCAGGGACTGGGGTATCACTCCGGCGAACAGATTGTCGGCAAGGGAGAGCTTTTCCAGGTTGGGAAAATTCTGCAGGAAATTGAGATTCCCAGACAACATGTTCGATGAAAGGTCGAGGATCCGGAGGCGGGTTAGAGAGGACAGCTTCGGCGGGACCTGACCGGAAAGCCGGTTCCCTCGGAGATTCAGGACTTCCATTTTCCGGCAGTTAAGAATGGGAGCGGGGATCTGGCCGGAGAGTTGGTTGTCGGTCAGAGTGAGCTCCTTGAGCTCCGACAGCCTCGAAATCGCCGGGGAGAGAGTCCCCCCGAGCCGCTCCGATCGGAAGACGATCCTCGTGACCCGGCTTCGTTCGCAGAAGATACCGGCGGAGTTGCAGGGATCCCGGAGACTGGGACTGCGTTGACCGGCCAAGTCTCGGTGAAGGAGGAAGAGAGCATCGCGGTCGGAAGCGGAGGTGCTGGAGGAGTTTCCATGAACGGAGAGGAGGAGGATGATGCAGAGAGAGCAGAAAAGGCGGAATGAGGGGGCCATTGAACGGCGTTGGGTCGTCGGAAGTGGCTGCCGGAAGTGTGGAGTATTGAGTATATAAGGTAGGAATGATTGACTAATCAGCGTAGACTTGGAAGTCAGTCAGTGAATGAATGAGGCGTGTGGAAATTATTTGGGGTCTGAGGCGCGGCTTCCCTCCCTCCTATAATGCCTTAATTATCATAACTTTATTTTCAATTTAATTTATTTGATTGTAGGTGTAAAATTAAAAAATAAAATTTATATATTTAAAAACTACATCAAAAGTTTTACAAAACAAGTGGTGACAAGACTATATTATTTTATCAAATACTTAATGAAAATAAGTAAAAAAAATGATTAAAGTTTGACCGGATAAAAAGTAAGTGAGAAGAACATTTTAAGACGGAGGGAGTATTTACTCTGTCCTATCGGACAGCAACCCTCCTTTCATGGACTAGGTCCACTAAGACTTGACTTTGGAAATTCCCACTTTACCCTTTATGCTTTTCAACACTAAACACTCCAAAAATAGTGAGCTTTTGGCTACACTAGAGATGATAGAAATACATTTTCGATCAGTGTTAGCGTTTTGAATAAAATTTTAATGATGTGATTAATTCAAAAAACATTAACGCTAAAAATTTCCATCAAATAATGTTTTCAAAACACTAACACCAACCTCAAACATTAATGTCAAAGGGGACAGAAGAAGAAGAGAAAAAGAAGAAAAAAAGAAGAAAAAAAACAATCGTGGCCATCGGCGTGCAGATGCCGCCCATGCTGAGTCCCGATCAGGGGGTGTGTTCCTTGTCGGGGCTGGCTGCCACATCGGCAATACCGATCCCAAACCCCACAACCTTATTAAAGTAAACGAAAATCATTTCCCCAACCAAACGCACCCTAAACATTATACTCGTTTTGTTTAAATGAAACTAGATTCGTAAATGTGCATTCTTAGCCTTCCCCCTCCTCCACTGAAGGCCATATATTTATCATTCTTCAGATTCCAACCTTCCCTCCCACCAAGACATTCTTATTAGCCTCCTCATCTGTCCACCTGGCCTGCAACAAATCCTTGGTTAGAAGCATCACCATCCACCACCAACATATTCACATGAAACCTTCCCCTATCCTTTCTTGATACATAAATAAAGCTCTAGAAACAAAAAGTATAGTTCCTTGACACATTGCTTGTAATTCGCAAGTCTTCAATATATATCTCCCAGTTCTTTTCAGTAGAAAATAATTTATTTATTTTTTTAAAATACAGAGTAAAAAAACTCACCAAAGATCTTTGGGCTACAAATCCAACCCTTGAAGTCCTGCCACATATCTGAAGTGAAGGATAGGGCAAGTACATTGGTTTATGAGTCTAGAACACAATTAACATCATTCAATCCCAGTTACTAAACAAATTTAAAAATATTAGGCATCAAGTATAAAGAAAAAAAGTTGAAAATATAGAAGAGGGAGAAGATGATACCCCAGTTTGATAGCTGATTCGCATTCTTCTCTGCTGCCAGAAGATGTTTGTCGATCAGTAGTCTGCCACTCCCGATCTTTAGGCACAAAAGCTACGCATACATACTCTCACGAAACTCTGAACCCCTAAACAGTTTTGTTTTTCTGAATCCATAAACAGGTAAAATCAGATTACAATACATAGTGCATAGAGTAAGCCAGGAGGAACCAATGAAGCTTTTTGGGTATGCCTTTATGAACAGGATAACTCTGAATAATAATAAAATGTATCTTCAACGTGAAAATATAGGAGAGCCTCAATGGTTTTAAACTGAAAAAAAAAAGTTATAGCTTGACTGTCGTCAGTTTTAAACGCTACCTTGTTAGGATGACGACCCCTAATGGCCCAACCATAGCTCTCAACTTGCCATTGTATACCACTATACATAAACACCCATAAGGCATAAAGAAAGAAAAACACAGATGTATACATAAACATATCAATAAAAATAAATGGATAAACTCTTTTCCAGTAAAATTACCTGTAAACAAATAAATAGCATGGCAGGGCAAAAAAAAGAAAGAGTAATCAACCTTGGAAAAAAGGGGCATTTCTGCATGTAAACAAATAAATAGCATTGCAGGCCATCCATTTCTTTTTATATTTCAACATTTATCGGAAACGTTTTGAAAAAATATACATGGTATGCAATTGGCTAGTGGTTGACTCGATTTTTTTCAATGCTACACACTTTACAGAATTACCCGAGTATCAAATATTACTCAACTAACCCTTCAAAATTGTCTGAATAAATGCCAAACCAAAAGTACAAGAAAAGAGAAAAGATGAGAGAGATTGTCAAGCTCACAATAAACACTAGTCTATCTTCAGAACATCAAGGCAAAAGACTCTCTTTTGTTCTAGACGCCCTTCTTTTGTGACTTTCTGTGTATTCAGTTACAAGCTTTGCGAACAACGATGCCTTGTTTGCTAGTAATCTATTAGGAGAGTCATATTCCTCGACAACCCCTGCAGCATCAAGTATCAATACCAAACTCTCAACTATTTCAATCGAAGAAAAAAAGTGTGCAAAATAAAGAGAAGAAAATGCTCACCGCGACCCAAAAGTAGTACCATGTCGCTGTTAAGAATGGAAGTTATTCTGTGTGCAATTGTTATGACTGTGGAGTCAGAAAAGTGTTGCTGAATTGTTTGCTGAATGAAGTTATCAGTGGCAGTGTCAACCGAGGAAGTGGCTTCGTCAAGGACCAACACCTTACTCTTCTTCAGTAGCACGCGACCAAGACAGATAAGTTGCCTCTGACCCAAACTCCAATTCTCTCCATTCTCGGTAACTGCACCCACCGCCATCAAAATCAAGCATTAAGTTCTGAATTCTTAGAGTATAAAACCTTTTCTGGATCTATAACCACAAGTTTGAACTTTTGGTTGAATTGGTTCATTGACATGGTATCATAGTCTAAATCTCGGCTGCATGTGAGGAGACATGTTAGGGTATAAAACGGTTTCTAAGCCTAGAATCACAAGCTTGCGTTTTTGGTTGAATTGGTTCCTTGACACAAATAATTGAATACATATATTTTCATGTAGTAATATTAGTTGAGTTACCAACCTATGGAATCTAAGCCATTCTCCTTCTTCCTAACTTGATCACCAAGTTGGCACTTATCAAGAACCTGTTATAATAACCATACAAATGAACAATTAGTGTTAGAGAATGCATTTCTGAACGTATAAGCTCAATTGTTGCATGTTATCATGAATGTTTGGAAATGGTAACTTTTAGAAATAACCCACCTCCCAAATTTCCATGTTTGTGTATGACTCAAGGGGGTCCAAGTTGCTCCTAATTGTTCCTTCAAACATGGTAGGATCTTGGGGAATGATGCTCAGTCTTGATCGCAGATCATGCAAGCCAACCGCAGAGGTATTGATGCCATCAATAACAATATGGCCAGCTGCAGGCTCCACTATTCTAAATAGTGTTTGTATGAGAGATGACTTTCCACTACCTGTTCTGCCTACAATACCGATTTTCTTTCCTCCAGAGAAAGTGCAAGTGAGGCCCCGCAGCACTAGTGGCAAGTGAGGTGCATAACGCATCTGCACCGTCATGTTATACTCATTGTTACTCAATGTGTCCGATAGAAAAGCCATGTTTCAAAAGCTATTTTGTCTTTTTTTTTAAAAAAAAGTGTTACCTGGAGATTGGCAATATTAACTTCTCCATGAGATGGCCAAGAAGGATCTGGTTTATTTTCATCATCAATTATAAGAGGAGCCTCACTGGGAATGGAAACAAATTGAAGTATTCTCTCCACCGATATCATAGCATACTCTAGATTACAAATGCTCCATATCACCTTAGCTTGTGCCATGTTTAGGCCAAGTCCATATGTCACAGCCAAACCAGCAATTGCTTTAAGAAGAAATTTTTTGGGTTAAAGTAGCCACATTCAATTCTAGTATAGATAGCACAATTATTATTAACATACATACCTGGATTTATTCCCTCTGAGAAACGGATTAGGAAAAATAAACAGAAAGCAAATGTGATGCAAGAAAACATGTCTAAGCGGAAGCCAAGCCATTCCACTGCACCCGCACTATGAAATTTCAACTGAGAATATGCATCGTTCAGCTTCATATTTAACTTTTGAAACCTCAACTGCTGACCAAAACTCCTGATAGTAATTACCCCTGAAATTGTTTCAGAAAAATGTTGGATGACCGGAGCATTGCAGGTTCCAACCAAACGTGACAGTTCTCTTGCAGAAGGTATGTAATAATTCTGCATTTCCCAAAAAAAATGCATTTGATACCTTCTTTCATATTTAGGGGAAAAAATTGCATTGTACACTAGATAAGAGAGATTATTGCCTGGTACCAGAGGCAGGTAGAGATCACGGGTATAAAAATGACAAAAACCTGCCATGCTGCCTGAGACATCACTGCAATTGTGCCCAGAAGATTAATCATCAAGAAAGCTACTAAATAAACCCTATAGGATATGTTCTCGTCCACTTCACTTTGGTCTGCCGAGCACTGTTAAAGCATAAACGAAATCAGAAAGGGGCGAATAGTTTATTAAGATTTCAAACAGGTCAAAATCTGTGTGGCTCAACTTACTCTATTAAGGATCCGCCCACTTGGGGTTCCATCAAAGAAGGACATGGGGGCACGAAAAATGCACGAATGCATTTTATTAAATAGTATGGTTGCTGCTTTATACCCCGCTGTCTCAAGGAGTATTGACCTAAACAAAATGCAAACAGCACTTGCAAAACTCAAGGTTACATAAACCGCTATGATATTGTATCCAATCTTCTTTGCATCTGCATCGTCCGCTGAAGAACTGGGAGCGACCTCAGCCATCCAATAGTTGCTACTAATTAGAAGGATCTGATAGAGAAGATGTAGAAACAAAATTAAGGGCACCATTGCTCCTCGGTATACTGTTGTTAGATATTTCCAGTAGACTTGGAAGCCAACTTGCCCTTTTCCTCTTTCTTCTTCTTTAACAATCTGTCCTCCTTCCTCCTTGGGAGCTATCTCATCATCATTGGGTTTCATATCCTCTTCTTCCAAGATATCTTCTTCAGAATTGCTTATACCTTCTCGTCCAAAATCACCAAGTGTGGATAAAGCCATGTCGTGCGCGCCTACAAGCTCCATGAAGTCAGGTCCCGAGTTAAGAATGTCATCATACTTTCCTGCTTGTGTAATCCTTCCATCTTTCATTACCTAAACAGAAGTTATATGGATGCTGAGTGAAAGGATCCCAATAGGAAAAATAAATGGATAAATAAGATGAGATAACTCACTAGTATCAAATCAGCAGCATGCACAAACTCAATTTGATGAGTAATGTAAACAACAGTTTTGGTACTCAAAAGTCCAAGCAAAACTTCCTGTCGCAAGAAAAAAGGTGAGACAAATAGATTTGATTAGCATTGTTTTTTAACAACATAAACAAAATTGGCTTCTTCAAATTGCTTAATAATTATAGGTAAGAAACGAACAACCCGTCATCACCTTAAATAAGTGAGATCCAGTATGTGCATCAACAGCACTAAAAGTGTCATCAAAAAGATAGATATCAGCATCTTGATAGAGAGCTCTTGCAATTTGGATTCTCTGTTTTTGTCCACCACTCAAATTGATACCCCTCTCACCTATAATGGTCTGATCTCCCAAGGGCAAGATTTCAAGGTCCTTCTCCAAGGCACATGCCTCCAATATCTTCTCATACCTTCCCCTATCCATTTCTTTACCAAACAAGATGTTCTCTTCAATTGTCCCGCTCTGTATCCAAGGTGACTGAGCAACATATGCCTTTGTCCCACACAACTCAACCGAGCCTGAGATTTTTGGAACCTCTCCTAAAATGCAGGAAAGCAGGGTAGACTTGCCACAACCAACAGTGCCGCATACTGCTACACGCATGCTTCGGCGTACCCTCAAACTTATGTCTCTTATAGTTGGATTGGGAGCTGTAATATCCCAAGAGAAGCAACCGTCTGTTATCTCAACTGCTATATCAGAACTACTATTCCTAGTGATCTCATGTACAACATCTGTACGCAAGTCATCAAGAGAAAGGAAATGTGATATTCTACTGAGGGAGACTTTGGTCTGAGCAATCATAGAAATTAATGATGGAATACTTGACAGTGAATTATTAAGCATTCCAAAAGTCGCAAGTGCGGATAAGATCCTTGCCGAATCAAGTGGGATTCTCAATAGCACACACGTAGAAAAAGAAGCCACGGACACTAAAATGGGAGAACACCAGTAAACGAAAGTCGTGAATGCAGAAGTGTAAAGGGCTTTTTTCAACCATGCTTCCTCCGTCTTCCGGAGCTCCATAATCTTAGACAAAAACTTCAAATCCCAAGCCTGAAACTTGATAATTCTCAAGTTCCTCAAAACCTCAGAAGTTGCCTTGATTCTCTGATCTTTAGCTTCCATCAATTTCTCATTAAAATTTGTGTATAGTTTTCCCAACGGGTACTGCACTAGCATAAGAACACAAGTTCCTCCAAGTGCAGCAAGAAATGCAAGCCCGAGATTCTCATACAATAAGAACAAAGCCAGCCCGAATTGGAGAATGACCATCCAAGGTTCATGAATGTCGGCACCACAACTCTCAATCTGTTGAGCATCAATTGTCAAAAGATTTATTTTCTGACCACTGGTGTTTTCCTGGAAAGAAGAGACCGTTAAGCCCTTACGATATATCAAGGTCACAATCACTGAACGCATCCGCATTCCAATCTGTTTCAGCTTAAAGAAGCTGCATCTATATGAAATGCGCTCAACAAGCTTTGCAACCAGAAATGCCAAAGCTAAAAGATAACCCTGATTTCTGAACTTCCCTTGGCCACTAAGGCAGTGGACAAACTCACCGATAAGATATGGACCGACATATGAAGCTAATGTATACGCCATAGAAAGTAAACCTGTCAAAAAAATATCTCTCCAGGCCGACAAGAATAATGCCTTCACAAGGGACATTGCAGAAACTCTCGTAGCCACACCATCACTATTTGACTCAACAAGTTTACTCCTGAAAATTGGATATGTTGCAAAAACACTGTCCATGCTGTCAAGCTTAGGAACATCAGCAAAGTCTAATGCTTTTCTGTTTCCGAGCTCAATTAGGGAACTCATCCAAGAAAAAGTAAGAACACTGAAAAGCCCGGCACTTGAGTAAGGGGTTACTAAGTCATCCTTTATAGACTTGCTTGAATTGTTATCATCCAAGAGAGGTTCAACTAATTGGTTGTCTTCTCCACTCCTCATTTCCAGCTTCCTGAAAATAAAATGGCAGAAAACAAAGTGATTGGATGTGACCACGTGAGACCATAAATATACTCACTTCATCCCAAAACCAAAGTCCCATTTTTCAAATTAGGTGTCCTAAAACAAAAGTCACATTTCTTTTTTTGGCGTAACCAAGTCACAAATATCCCTACTTTTTCAACCACTTCTTCTGTCTTTTCAATCAGTTTTATGCCCTCTCTCTTATTCAAAATCTACCCATCCCTACTTTTTTTTAAAATACTTTTTATACCACCCCCATTTATTTTATAATCACATTACACACAAAATCTCTTTTTTATGGCACACTTTATCTCTCTTTGTGTTCCTCGAGCTGGGGTCTCTTGGAAACCTCTCTACTTCCAAGTAGAAGTAAAGTCTGTGTACACACACTCATTGGTGGAGCCATCATGCAACTCTTGGAGGGGCACCAACTAAGCTATAAGAGTTTGAGGGCAGCAACCCAATTTTTTTTGAACACAATATAAAATAGTATAAAATTTCGTAGATAGATTTCATCTCAAACAAGTATTCAAATAGTTTAAGTCTCAAAACTTACCCTAAGTCTCAAAAAATTCATCTCTAAAATAATATTGTAATTAAGGATAACAAATCTTTTGGTTGCCTAATAACATTTTTATCCACATCTAGAATTCCTAATGACAAAATAAAATCACAATATCATAAAATCATTAGTTAAACAGAAAACAATTAATTACAAATTTAACAAATAATATATCATCTCTCCATTAGAAACTAAAACAAAAAATAGAAATTCCTCAAAATATTTAATTATTAAAAGTAAAACTCTTCAAGTGTTCAACTTAACAAAAATAATATAAAAACCTGCTGGGGGTGCTGCCCGAACAGGAGGAGGCCACAAGGTGGTGGTGGCGATCGACGAGGCGGTGACGGCTGATTGGCGGCGGACCCTGCTGCAGCGCAATTCAGTGCGTAAAGTTATGAAGTGTTTGTTTGAATGGAAGAGTCCATTTTGGTGGCTGATTCTGACGCAGGACTTTTAATAACAGAGTGACGGTTTTGCAGGCGGGAATGAAGAAGATGCAACCTAATAAAAAGTCCTAATAAAAATATTGACTTTTAAATTGTTCTTGGAAATTGTTGTTGATAATAAGTAATTTACCTAAATATACCTAAAACATAATGACTTTATCGATATATGACCATATGTTTTTATTTAGGAAATGACTTTCTCACTAGTCATTATTAAGTCTTATTTAGGAAATATAAAATTTATGGTCTATATTAGAAATGATTTATGTTTTAATCTTCATTCTTAAAATTCAGAGTATTGTTTCATAATGATCATTGTAATTGGTTATCTTCCAAAATTGGTCCATTTTTTAAAAAAACTTATTAAATATAAAAAACTAATTGTATACTCCCTCCGTCCTAAAATATTTGTCACATTTACTTTTTCAGCAGTCGCGGGAAATTTTGTTTATTTCTATATTTTCATTGATTATTTGATAAAATAATATATTATTGACACCTCTTATTTCGAAGAATTTTTTCATGTAGTTTTTTGATATGCAAATTTTATTTTTTATTTTTATACCAATATGTAAATAAAATGAATTGAAAAAACTTGATATTTTACCTCAACAATAGAAATGTGACAAATATTTAGGGACGAAGGGAGTATTTTCTAAGATGAGAACTTTTTAAAAAATTAAAATTAAAAATATAAATTTATAAATTTGAAAATTTATTTTTCAGATTGTTTAAGACTATTTAAAAGTATATTTTGTAAATAAAATATTTAATCTGAATCCCTTTATTCTGAAATAAGGCTCATGTTTCAATTTATAGTGTTTGTGTGAGATTATTTTCAAATCAACACCACTAAAATTTAGTTTATATAATAAATATAAGAAATCATTTTCTATTTGTATAATAAATATTATTCCATCTATTTCAAAAAATTTTATAGTTTACCCAAAACAAACTGAAATTTCAAGGTTTTTTCTCAATGAATTTTATTTAAAAATCGATATAAAAATAAAAAATAAAAATTAGTAAAAAATTTTACAAAACAAGAGTTGACGATAGTAAACAAATAGAGTGAATAATATACGGAGTAATTTCTTTTTTAGGAAGAAAAAAATATTTGATAAATTCTTTTTTTTTTTAAAATTAAAAATGGAAATCTAATGCTAGGAATAATAAAATCAAAATATACATTATATTAATGTGGAATTTCTTCATTTAGAAAGAATAGAAAAAGTAAAGAAGGAGACAGGAGATAGTGAGCTTGAAAGACGAGCCATTCTTTTGCTTTACTGACTGCTTTTCTTCGCTTTCATCTATTTCGTCCCGTCCCAAATGAGTAATATATGTCCGCCTGCAATGCAAACGTTCAGTTCCCTCCCTCAATCATCTAACTGTTAATTAATGCTACTCAATACAAAATACGCCTGAATCCCGATCACCGGGCGGCACCGAATTTATCGCTCTCTCCCTTCCAATTCAATTCACCGCCTGCCGGAATGGAAAGCGGCGACTCCTCCGACGTGGAGTTTGATGCCGAAAGCCAGCGGTTCGACGATTACAGCGTCAGCGCTGACGTCAGCGAGTCCGAGAGCTCCACTTCTAGCGCCAGCTTTTCCTGCCGTCGCCAGCCGCCTCTTCCCCCCACTCCTCCGCCGCCGCTCAAGCCCCGTAAACCCGAATCCGAAATGTCAGGTGAGAATCCAATGCGTTTTGAAAGAGGGCGATGAATGGGACAGATATCTAGAGGGAAGAATCATATGCTTGATTATTTACTATATTTCATTTGTTTGCAGAAGTCGAATTGATGAAGGATCGATTTGCAAAGCTGTTGTTAGGGGAAGATATGTGCGGTGGTGGAAAGGGAGTGTCCACTGCTCTTGCTATTTCTAATGCTATTACAGATCTTGCTGGTATATGTTTCTCCCTTCCCATTTAGCCTTTATTATATACAGAGTACTCCGTATTCGTCTTGTTCATTTAACAATACACATATGTACTATACCTCATTGTGATCTGCAATTTCGGGTTTCCCAATGCAAACTTTTGCAGCAAAGGTGTTCGGCGAGCTCTGGAAATTGGAGCCCTTGACTCCCGGAAAGAAAACTGCTTGGGGCCGGGAGATGGAATGGCTTCTCTCTGTGAGTGATTCTATAGTGGAGCTTGTTCCTTCGATGCAGGAATCTCCAAATGGTGGAGGGACCTTTGAAGTCATGGTGCCTCAACCGCGCTCAGACCTATACATCAACATCCCCGCTCTCAAGAAACTGGATGCCATTCTTGTTAACATGTTGGATGGGTTTCGTGACCCTGGATTTTGTTATGTTGAACAACAGATTGAAACGTGCCCTCGTTCTTCTTCTTCTTCTCTATCCTCGCACATGCATTCGGTTAGGCTTCAAGAAGAGGGAGGGCGGTTACCGTTCCCCAAGGTCCCACCCGATGGTTTGTCTGAAAAAACAAGGAACCAATTGCTTCAATGCAGGGAATGCGCAACCCAAATTTTCAAGGCTGCTTTGGCAATAAACACCACTGTTCTGTTTGAGATGGAAGTGCCAAAAGCTTATTTGGAGAGCTTGCCCAAGGTAATTAAGAAGATCTACAATTCTTTTTAATAACTTATAACAACAACAACAACAACCCAGTTAAATCCCACAAGAGTAGGGTCTGGGGAGGGTGTGTGTACGCAGACCTTACCCCTACTCGAAAGTAGAGAGGCTGTTTCCAAACAGACCCCCGGCTCAACGTCGAAAGTTGCATTGCTTGACTAATTGCTACTTCATTAATTAAAGAAGCGCAGACAGTTTAGAGATCCATTTTGGTTTATTCCATCACACCCCAAAGCCAAAAAGTGGTGAAATTTTGGCTCCATCAGAGAATCCAAAAAGACTAAATGGTGAATGGTATGTTAATATCGTCAGTTTCACAAGTTTATAATCTCTCCCTCCAGCAGTCCAACCCATAAAAGAGTTCAGTTTCACAAGTTTATAATCTGTTGATGGTGTTCTCTTGGTCACCGACCTACATAATATAAACCAGTGCCACTAATTTGAAGCCCAAGCCCATTGTGTTGGATTAGTTCTTTTTTCCTTCTATCTAAGATGAATTGTTCATTTAGATTGGTGCTCACTGAAATTAGGCCCAACATGGAACCACAAAAGTTTTAAGTGTTCTATTCTTGTGACTAATGTACTGCAAATGGCTTTTGGCACATAAACCAGTATCACTAAAGTTTACAGTGTTTTCTTTTCAGAGCGGAAAAGAGTGTTTAGGTGAAACCCTGTACAATGACATCTCTACTGGGCAATTGTCCCCAGAGTGCCTTCTTGATTATTTGGACCTATCGTCGGAGTACACAGCTTCAGAAATAGCTAATAGAGTTGAGACTGCTATGCATATCTGGAGGCAGAAACACCACCGGAAGAGGAAGAAGAAGAAGAAGCAACTGAATCCAGCAAAAAGCGGGTGGGGTGGCACGATGAAAGGCCTTGTTGGTTACAGCAAAGAAAGGGAGAAAGTCTTGTCGGAACGAGCAGAGAGCATCCTTAGGAGCATGAAACTAACTCTACCTGGCCTCCGCCAAACTACGCTCGACATGCAAAAGATTCAGCACAATAAGGTAACTAATAGTCTTTTATATTAAGCTAGCTAGTGACCAAAGGACAATTTGTACTCTTTGTGCTCAGGGTGCTTATAGATAGTGTCAGTATGTGTGTTCCTTGGAAACAACCTCTCTACTTTGAAGTAGGGGTAAGGTCAGCATACATACACGCCTTCAGACCCTAGCTACTTTTGTGGGATTATTTCGGTTTAATGTTGTAGCCACCAAAGGGAAGTAGCTGGCTAGCTAGATGGTACACATATTAACAAGGTGATAGATGTGTATATGTAGGATGTGGGGCAATCAATCCTGGAGAGCTATTCTCGGGTGTTGGAGAGCATATCATTCAACTTGATTGCGAGGATAGATGATCTGCTGTACGTAGACGATGCCGCACGAAGGCGTGCAGCTGCAGCTGCAGAACTCATCAGCCGGAGAGGACATTATCCACAGAGACGGGTTTCTTCTGCCTCCGTTTCATACCAACAAAAACCTTGTGCCCCATTATTTCGGACAGACAAGGCATCGTCGTCGTTAGTTGATACCTCGTCCAGGAGAAGAAGACACAACAATATGGTGGTGTCCAAGTCAGGAGGTAACACAAAAAACTGTAGATATTAATTCCATTTTGGCACTCCCAACAGCTAGTTTGCAAACTCTGGCATTGGAATATATAGAAGAAGATCTTTTATGATGTCATCCAGTTTCATCCTGTAGCTGCTATGCAGATTTATCAAGCTGATGAACGTAGCCATGAAGGGGCCGGGTCTCCATCTAATTAAATTTGCATCGTCTTTGTATGTTTAATTAGTTAGTGCATAGATAGCTAGCTAGCTAGCAAGGTTCATTATATTGTGTGTTGTTAACATCATTCAACCTAACTGTCCTCACCATTAATTGAGCATTTGCCATTTTAAGTTTTCCTAAACAGAAAAGTGTGGTGTGTACATTATTTGTTCTTTACCAGGAAAGTAAACAAGTTCGATGCATAATGATTATTATTCTTAATTACTGTAACATATTTACACCAGCAAATGATAAAAGAAATTAATAAGATTTAGTTTGGGATAAATTAACAAGACAAAGAGATTATATGTAGTAGGCTAGCTTTGGCTGAGGTAGGTAGGTAGTAGATAGCTTTATTGATTACTAATTGTTGCTGTAATTATTAAGTAATGATGTGAATGCGGGTTGAGGCGGCGTCATCATGATATGATCCTCCTTTTCCACAGGTTGATTTCTTTCCTTGGCGGCAACGTTGTTGTTGTTGTTGTTGTTGTTTCACCAATTCTAAGGACGACATCATTATTTGGTAAAACAACATCATCAATTGATGATGGAAGACTGGCAATCTGCCGCGGATGATGAGAACTTGGACAACCTTCATCATCATCATCGTCGTCGTCGTCATCGTTGTCCGAACAATAACTACCACGTAGCGTCTCTCGACTGCTCGCAAAGCGCTTCATCTGACCCAAACTAGGGGGCAGCGGTGGCGGCGCTTTGTCTGCTGCCGAAGCATCAGACCACCTTCGCCCGTGCAATGGTGATGCAACTTTCATGGCAGCAGCCGGGGAAGATTTCTCAGTCGCTACAGACCCAATGATGACTAAGTCCTTATCTTTCTTCTTCTTCTTCTTCTTGCTGGTGCTGCTGTTTTGCTTGAGCTGACCCATGCACGAAACTTTGGGCGAGCAGGGTTCTCCATGGGGGTGGGCATTAGCACTCGTAAAACCCGATTGTCTTCCGGCCTCTGCCCGAACAATAGCGCCAGAGAATCCTCTCCGGTGGTTGGCGTTGGCGGTCTTGATGAGATGATGGTGGTGGTGGTCCGCCGTTGCAGCAGCTGGTCTCATGTCTCTGCCGCCGCCTAGGATAAACGCCGCAGCCGGCAGGTTTTGGAACGACGTGGCAACGGATCTTGGAACCAACTTCAAGATCAACATCTTCCCCTTTGATGGCTGCTTATTCACCACTGCTTTTCCCATATTATTATTATTGTTTAAACAAAAACACATTCATCTAAAATTGAACTCCCACAAACTAATCTCAATTCAAATAAGTACGTTGGGTGTTAATAACTTCATATATATCCTTATCACTAATTCAATTAATTGTCTTCACACTTCACATTGCGCGCTCTATTTTCTTTTTCTTGAATAATTTTTTTAGAAATCACCTGAAATAGGACTAAAACATAGAGAAAAATACCAAACTAGAACTTTCATGTTTTTTTCCCCCAAAATAGTACTTTGCATTGTGGTAATGTGGCACTGTACATGTGCACATTACTATACTTTCTTGGTAATGTACATCACCATGTTTGGTAATATAAGTCTTATTTCGAAAATAAAAACATGGAAGTCTTATTTTGGTATATTTTCAATGTTTTTTTTGACTAAAACCCTAATTTTTTTACTATATCTCAATGTATACAATAAAGCCAAGTAGCCAAGTCAAATCCTCAACAAGAGAATTATTCTCTCTTAGCTGCTGGGCAATTCAAGGCCGGTTTGTTTAGTCAAAACATGGGAAATAATACTTCAAGCCTATCCAAGTCACCAAAGTGGACTCGGCATGCATGCTGTGACGCACCGCTTTGTTTGTCCAAAAACGCACAGAGGCTCAAGACCCAAAATCGATTGATCCATTTGAAGATATCCAGATCCGTCCAGAGGACTCAAGAGTTCTCTAGAATCATGGGGACTTGCTAAAAATGTTTGGAAGGTTCTGGAATATTTTAAAGTAGTGTAGAGATAACCTGTAACTTTGTAAATATATATGAGATATTTGTGTAGAGTATTCTAGATACTCATTTGTAACTGTTAGATCAAGTAGATCTTAGCCGTCGATTGACGAGGTGGAGAAGTATAAATACCCCTCCCCCTCATTCATTTCACTCACTCAAGAAGTGAGAAGCATTGTAAGCTCTAGAAAGAGAAAGTAATACAAAGTTCATTCTTTGAGTTCGAGTTCCTTCGTTCATACTTAACATTTCAATATTCCGCCAAGTCTTAAAGTAGGCAGACTAGCAACTTAGAGGAAAAGTTTGTAGGCCGCACGGTTGATTGGAATTACGACAAAGTACGTGACAAAGCAGGCTCGAGCCTAAGATTTTTTAGGCTCGAAGCAAAAAAAAAACAAAACTTTCTTGAAGATTTGATTAAAATCTAAAATTTTCCTTCTCAGCTAATCAAGATAAAGTTTAATTAAATATATGCTTTCTATATATTTGCTAATCAAGATAAAGTTTAAAGTAGATTTGGAATGGACAACTAATCATGGACATATGCTCCCTCTCTCCCATAAGTTTATTCTTGTTTACTTTTTCTTAAGGCCTGTTTGGGATTAGCGTTAGAGATTAGCGTTAGCATTTTGGGTAAAATTTTAACGGTGCAGATTACTTTGAAAACACTAACACTAAATATTGTCCGTAGGTAGCCTTCTCAAAATGCTAACGCTAATATCCAACGCTTTTTCCAAACAGGCTCTTAGTCAACAGATTTTACGTTTGGCCATAAAATTTTGAAAAAAAATTAATATCATATTTTCATAATATACTCCATATATTTATATGCAAATAAAGATGAGTGGAGTTTTTTTTGCTATTGGCACTTTAAAATCTATACTTTATTTAAAAGCAGGGGAATTCGTTGACCAGTTTTTCTGCCCATGGACGTGTTGACTTTTTATTATATATGGAAAGGTTTAGATATATTTTAGGGAAAAATATTTTACATGGAATTTAATCAATTTAATAAATAATTAAAAATGAATATTATTATTAATCATGGTCAAATTTCTAGGGGTGGTCTAGATTTATTTTAGGAAATTTTTTTATATATGGGCTTTAATAAATAAATATAAATATTTTTTATTAGTGATTTTCAAAGTTTTTTAGGGGTGGTCTAGACTTATTTTAGGAATTTGTTTTATATATGGACTTTAATAAATACATGTTAGAACTTTTTATTATATATGGAGAGGTCTAAATTGATTTTAGGAAAATATGTTATATATGGACTTTATAATTTAATTAATAAATAAACATAAATGTTATTATTAATTGTGATCAAAATTTATAGGCGTGGTCTAGATTTATTTTAGGAAAATTTATTATATATGGGCTTTAATAAATAAATATAAATATTTTTATTAGTCACGGTCAAAGTTTCTAGGGATGGTTAGATTTATTTTAGGAAAATTTGTTATATATGAATTTTAATAAATAAATTAATAAATATATATATTTTTATTAATCACGGCCAAAGGTTCTAAGAAGGAATTTTTCATTATATATATGCTTTTTATTATATATGGAGAGGACTAGATTTATCTTTGGAACTTTTTTTATATATGGACTTTTTATTATATAAAGAGATTATTACATAGGAAATATTTTTTACATGTGAACTTTAATAAATAAATAAATACAAATATCTTTATTAATCACGATTAAAGTTTCTAGGGGCGGTCTAGAATTATTTTAAGAAAATTTGTTGTATATAGACTTTAATAAATAAATAAATATAAATATTTTTATTATTCACGGGCAAAGTTTCTAGAGGTGGTCTAGATTGACTTAGGAGAATTTGTTATATATGATCTTTAATGAATAAATAAATTAAAATATTTCTATTAATCATGGTCAAAGTTTCTTGGGGTGGTCTAGAATTATTTTATTAGTACATATTTATAAATGGAAATAAATCAACTAATGAAATAAATATTTTAGTATAAAAAACTCATCTAAAATGGCAAGAAATAAATATTCAATAGAGTATATTTTCAAATATATTTTTATAAATAGTTTAGTAAATAGCCTTTTAATAACGTTTATTTTTGGAAAATATTAAGAAATAAATATTCAACATAGTTAATTTTAATATAAATTTAAATAAATCAACATGTGAAATTAAGTATTTTAATATAAAAACACTCATCTAAAAATGGCAAGAAATAAAACATAGCATATTTTAGTATAAATTTTAGTATAAATGGAAATAAATTAACCGATGAAATAAATATTTTATTATAAAAACACTCATCTAAAAATGACAATAAATAAATATTTAACATAGTATATTTTAGTACATATTTTTAAATGGAAATAAATAAATTGATGAAATAAACTAAAATAAAAAATAAAAAACACTTACCTATAAATGGTAAGAATTCATTACTACATTGTAAGAGGGAACTAATTTTAAATGGAAATATATTATTTTTGTTACGCATGTTGGTATTACGTTAGACATGGTAGTAAAAAATAACATGTAAAAATGGCATGCATTTAGATAGCCTTGAAAGTTGCAATATGTTTATTTATGGATTTTTTTTACATTATTGCCTTTTCGGTAAAATTTTTTTATATCATTATATCACTTCCATCACTTTCAGTTTTGTAAAGCGGTGGTAATAAACTAAAGTGCAAAATTATTTTTTTTATAAAACTTTGTTTCCTTTTTGAAAATAAATATTTGTATGAATATTTAATAGTCACTCATCCCGTGGCATGGAGAAAACATATTCACTTCTCAGAGATATATTATTCTCGCTTTTTCTACAAACATGCATGTACAAACATGGGTGTGTGGTCGATGCTTGAAAAGATTGATCAAGGTTGTGTCATTTAAATGACTAAATTAAGAGTTATAAAGGTTTATCGAACCTCTGCTCATGCTAGAGGGTCAAAATCTCTTGATGTTATCTTTCATGTTCAAAAGATTAGTTCTGTTTTTAGTGTGATCCAGAAATAGTATTAGTATTAAACAGAATAGTTATAATTAAATAAGAATTATAAAAGATCCTCCTGTCGATACTTTCAAAGATGATATCAAAGAAAAAGACGTTTATGTTTTGATAAAATTCAAAATCCAGCGTAATTTTCGAATGACTAAAACTACCCCCATCCTTATATTTAATTTTTGTGGCATGACCAAACTTCAAAAAATATCATCAAAATCTTTTCCCAATTTTCGATGCAAGTTTATGTCATTCAATGATATACATTTATTGCCCTTGGTTGACGGTATCCTTTTAATTAGTTTGTAAATAATAATTTATAAGAAATATTTTATAAGTTATATATATGGTAAACAAACTAAATCATATGTCTTGTGTTTTCGATACTCACAGATGTCATTGAAAAAGTTGTTAGTCATACAACGCCAGAGGAAAGCATGATAAAGGTCGTTTGCAAGAGGATGATGGAGGTTATGTTGGACGACCATAGGTACACATAATAAAAAGTTCGTCAAAATTGATGTCGATTTTGTTTTATTTCATGGTTTGTAATTTTATTGATTTTATTTATTCTATCTTTAGGAGGAACCAACTGAATTAAAGCTTATCAAATCTGCCAATGCAATTCTTTTGATGCAAATAGTGACACCTAGGCAATATAGTGGTATTAGTATTATACTTTTAGTTAGTTCTATTTTTATATGTGACACAATCCTTTACATGAGTAATGATTGTTTCGTAAGGACAAACATAATAGTATGTAATAATAAGCAATATCTCATCCATTTAAAAATTTAAACTCATTCAAAAGATGTTCAACAGATAAAATTTTTATATTCAATCCTTTAAAATACTGAACTTTATATTCTATTATATACTAATTTCTATTTTTCAATAATGATCTGAATATAATTTAATAATATAAATGCAAGCCGTGTAATGCACATGTGTGATACTAGTATACTTCTAATATGAGGGAAATGAGTATGTATTATTTAGGAGTGTCAATATCAAAAAGTAAAGTACGGATATAATTTACCTTTATATTTTATCCCAATATATTATCACAGTCTGAGTATGTTCAGATTTATTTTGTGCAGATGAATTAATCATTTTTTCATAAGTAATTAAATAAAAATTCCATTATCTACGAACTAATTGTGTAATTTTGTAATTTGGCAAGTAACACAGTGGCTAGTGCTAAGCAAGATTACGACGTTGTTTACTAAAAGTGCTGTTTTTTTGTGAACTTAAAAATTCGAGAATATAAAACTGGTAATTTATCTAAATAGGACTAAAACATAATGACTTTTCCAACATCAC